ATTCGATTCCACTGAAGAGATAATTTATTCTTAGGATGTCTTTCGAAACTCTATCATGTAAATATGTCATAAAACAAAACAAATTCACACCATCATTACTTACTGTTACTAAACACTAATCAAGGATGAGGTTCACACCATCATTACTTACTGTTACTAAACACTAACTGTAAGTCTGTAACTAAAAACAAACTCACACCATCATTAAAGAAAGCATATATTGGTTTTTAACCCGGTTCATTAGTACAAATTACTGTACTAGGTTACAAGCTCCAATTAAATCCCAAAGCACTTATAAATATGTATGCATATTATTGTTATTAATTAATCTCACTAGCAACTTGAATTTAAATTCATTTTTAATATGTTATTGTTCCTTTTTATTCATTTTCAAATCATATCAACACAACAATAACACAAGTGTCTCTCCAAAGCTTGACACATCAACATTTTCAAGTTTTTAGGAGATGACACTTCAGCAAAAAGAATCACCAATAAAAATATTTCATTAATACAAATCATCAATTTATTTTAACTTTTAAATTTAAACCTATTAAAAACTCAAATATTTTTTATTGTTAATTTTAGTTTTATTTTTTTGTCAAGTCCAAACCCAAATAATAACTAACAAAAAAAAATTTGTTTTATTTTTTTGCCAAACCCAAATAATAAATAACAAAAAATAATAAAATTAAATCTTTGTTTTATATTTTTGCCAAACCGAAACTCAAATAATAAATAACAGCAAAAAAAATTAAAATTTATAACTATGTGTTTGCTTGATAGAGACGTATATGATTGAAGAAAGTGTAGACTCATCATCAACTATACTTCCATAACAACAATGCAAAAAACGTTATGTTATAAGAAGCTCACACATCAGCAAAAATTTGAACCATTAAAAACATAACAATAATACATATTATTAACACACTAATAAAAATCAGTTTACTATTTTGCTGATCCATTAAAAAGTCCAAAGTTTACAAAAAAAGTGGAAGTCGAAAGCAGATGAGGAGAAACTCAGACCACCACAGCTTGGAGATTCACATTTCCAGTGGTTACTAAAAACAAATTTTCTTGGGTTCGGCAGAAACAGAGAATTTCTTGGTTTTGGTAGAAAAATGTGATTTTTAGTTTGGTAGGAAAACATAATTTCTCGGTTATGGCAGAAAAAGCAAATTATCGGGTTTGGCGGAAAAATGTGAATTTTTGGTTTTTGTGAGAAAAAGAAATTTGATTTTGTCAAGAAAATACGAGGGAAATGCAACTTTTCAATTTTGACGAAAAAATACGATTTTCTGGTTTTGATAGAAAATGCAATTTTTCGGCTTTTGATGGATAATGTAATTTCTTGATTTCCACGGAAAATTGTAATTTGACAATTTTGGCAGAAAATGCAATTTCTCAGATTGATAGAGAACAAAATTTCTCGATTTTGGTGGAAATAAACAATTTCTTGGTTTTGATGGGAAATACAAATTTTCAGTTTTTGACATATAATTTGATTTTTTTTTGTTTTCGAGGGAAAAATATGATTTCTTAGTTTTCGCGAAAAACGCAATTTTTCAAGAGATAATGCAATTTTTGGTTTTCACGGGAAATTGTAGTTTATCGGTTTTGGTAGGAAAGTGTGATTTTTGATTTGGCGAGAAAATTAATTTTTTCATGTTTTGGTGGGAATAGACGATTTCTCGATTTTTGTGGAAAAATATTTTTTTTTGGTTTTGACGGGAAAATACTATTTTTTGGTTTTTGCAGGAAGATGAAATTTTTTGGTTTTTGTGAAAATACTTGATTTCTCTGTTTTGACGGAAAACACATGTTCTCGCGGGAAAATGTGATTTTTTTGTTTTTGAGGAAAAATACAATTTCTTTGTTTTGATAGGAAAATGAAATTTCAGGTTTGATGAGAAAATAATTTTTTTTTTGTTTTGGCGGGAATAGGCGATTTCTCAGTTTCGTGGGAAAATATTTTTTTTTTGTTTTGTCAGAAAATTCAATTTCTCAGTTTTTGTAAAAAGATAAAATTTCTTTGTACTAAATTTTCAAGTTATAATATGTTTATAGTAACAAAAACTGAATTATTTAATTTCAAGTAAATTGATATTTCAACAGTTCAAATAGAACTTGCTATTTAGTTCTAAAGTAATAATAATGATTTTGATATGAATGTTATTGATTATAATTTAATAGTTTTAGAAACATATGTTTATAATAAAATTTTGATAAATAAATAAATTTTATAATTAATAACAATCATATTAATTAATATTTTTTTAAATGGCAATTTGCTTTATATAGTTTAAAAAGAGGATCAAGTAGCAATTTAGTAGAGAAAATAAATTATATTTATTATTAGCATAAATGTACTTCAAAATATATTGTTTTATTCTTACATATACATTTACATATAGTTAGCTAAACAAATATGATTATAGATTGTAATTTTAAAAAATAAAAAGATTAATAATATAATAATATTTATTCAGATCTAAAACATATAAATACATAACTTAAGCTAATAAAAAATAAATATAATACTCATTTACATTATAGAAATAATTTTATTACATTAAAAATATATACAAATCTAGAAAAATATTCCCCAGCGTAGCGCGGATAAATACCTAGTATATACAATTCAATCTCCGGAAAGTCGAAGACTCTTAAAAAATTCAATACCATATTGTTTAAACTAAAATTGTCATCTATCATATACGCAATTTGCCCATAGTTAATTAAGAAAAACAACACATGAATAGCTTCGATGATTTTTATAATCTCAAACAATCAAAAGTCAAAACAAAATAAATAGTATCCCTTTTTACAAAAAAAGATAATAGTATCATACTATCATTTGATCTTCTTTATCTACCTTTCGTTCTTTTCTTTATGACCACTATCTAATGTTTATATGTGGCTTCCACTTGGCACAATGAAAAAAATATAAGAAGATCCGCTATAAAGCAACAAAATAAAGAAAATGAAAAAACAAAAAGATGTTTATAAAATTAAATTAAAATTTTGAGGGGGATATAAGAAAAAGGTGTGTAACACCACCACCACTACGAGCCACTACTACTAAAACCAGCCGCCCCAAAAGGTAAACGCCTCTCAGCTTTTATACAGAATAAATAAATAATAAAATAATACTAAAAATCATCATACTATTCCTCACCATCTTTTTTTTTTATTCCCTTTTCCTTTTTTAAAAGAAATTATTTCATGTCATATTGTTTGTGCACATCATGATTATAAAATATCATCAAATTCAATTTTCATGATCAACATCATAGCACGCACGCACGCACCTCCTTCTCCAAACATGAAATGACCCAATTTCCTTCTTCTTGTTCTTTTTTCCCTCCCTTAAATAAATCAATAGTTAAAACGCATATAGAAGAAATAATTTTGAATCATGATTAATGACAAAACATAACCAGACAAATTTAATAACAACTAGTATTAATTCTCATAGATATGGTGGGTGAAAATAATTAAATAAAAAGAGTATATAGCGCTGACTTTAATAATTACATAGGTTGTACTTAATAAGCTTTATTACAGGACGAATAAAAAAAACAAAATTTAATTACAAGAGGAATAATAAAAAGAAAAAAACTTTATAAAAAACAATATCAACAGGCCACAACCACAATCGGGGCAAAAAGATAACATGATAAAATAAAATAAAATTAAAAAGATGGCAAAAAAAGTAACTTTGGGTGTGACAAGAAGTTTTCTTCTGTTTGGTCTGACTATTCCCTTTGGTCAACGATGGTATTGAGAGCCATTTACAAGCTTCGACACAGAAACCCAGATTGGATAATGATGTCTTTTGCTTTTTTTCCCTCTCTTTCGTCTTCTCCTTCTTCTTCTTTTAGCTTACTCAATCTTTCTCAGCTTCTTCTTCTCTTCTTGTTCTCGGCATGATTGACGAGAAGATGAGATCTAAATCCATTGGTCTCCTTGTGAGGCCAGTAAACATGGTTCTCTTCTTCCTTATTTATGTTCTTTCCCTCTCTGTTTTCTTTCTTACAGTTTCAGAGGCCGTCTGTAATCTCCAAGATCGAGAGTCTCTCCTTTTGTTCTCCGGCAACGTATCATCTCCAGCCTCCCCTTTGCATTGGAACTCGTCCATTGATTGTTGCTCCTGGGAAGGAATCTCTTGCGATGATTCTCCAGAAAGTCGAGTCACTTCGATTCTTTTGCCCTCTAGAGGACTCTCAGGCAATCTCCCGTCGTCTGTTTTGGATCTCCGTCGTCTCTCTCATCTCGACCTTTCTCATAACCGTCTCTCTGGTCCTCTCCCACAAGGTTTCCTCTCCGTTCTTGATCAGCTCACGGTTCTTGATCTTAGTTACAACAGTTTCAATGGTGAATTGCCACTTGAACAATCATCTGGCAATGGAAGCAACCGAAACTTCCCAATTCAGACCGTTGATCTCTCCAGCAATCTTCTCGAGGGAAAAATACTCGGCGGTTCTGTTTTGCTTCAGGGTGCCTTCAATTTAACCAGTTTCAATGTCAGTAACAACAGCTTCACGGGTCCAATCCCTTCCTTCATGTGCACAGCTTCGCCGCAGCTCACCAAATTGGATTTCTCTTATAACGGTTTCACCGGCGACCTCTCTCAAGGATTAGGCAGATGCTTGAAGCTAAGTGTTCTTCGAGCAGGCTTCAACAAGCTCTCTGGTGAAATCCCAAAAGAAATCTACAACCTTTCTGAGCTCGAGCAACTCTTTCTACCAGTCAACCATCTTTCCGGGAAGATTGATGATGCGATCACTCGTCTCACCAAACTGACAGTGCTTGAGCTTTACTTCAATAACCTCGAAGGAGAAATACCAGCGGATATAGGTAAGCTTTTCAATCTGAGCAGCCTCCAGCTCCATATCAATAACCTCACAGGCTCTGTCCCCGTTTCTCTCGCCAATTGCACAAACCTTGTGAGGTTGAATTTACGGGTTAATCGGCTGGAAGGAACCTTATCGGAGCTAGACTTTTCCCGTTTTCAGAGCCTCAACATTCTGGACCTCGGAAACAACAGCTTCACCGGCGATTTCCCCTCGAGGGTTTACTCCTGCAAAAAGCTGACAGCGATGAGGTTTGCAGGCAACAAGTTAACTGGACAGATATCTCCTCAAGTACTGGAACTGGAGTCCCTGTCGTTCTTTACACTTTCAGACAATAAATTGACCAACATTACGGGAGCTCTCAGCATTCTGCAGGGCTGCAGGAAGCTGTCTACTCTCATCATTGCAAAGAACTTTTACGACGAAACGATACCAAGCAACAAGGACTTTCTTGCGCCAGATGGATTTCCAAATCTCCAGATCTTTGGTACGGGTGGATCCAGATTGAAAGGTGAAATACCAGCTTGGCTGATCAATCTCAAGAGCGTAGAACTTATCGACCTGTCACAAAATCGACTCGAGGGGTCGATTCCCGGTTGGTTAGGAACTCTTCCAAATCTTTTTTACTTGGATCTCTCTGATAACCATCTTACAGGAGAGCTTCCAAAGGAACTGTTTCAGCTGAGGGCTCTCATGTCCCAAAAGGTATACGATGCAACAGAGCGGAGCTATCTAGTGTTACCTGTTTTTGTCAGCCCCAATAATGTCACCACCAATCAGCAATACAATCAGATAACCAGCCTCCCGCCTGCGATATACATCAAAAATAATAACCTGACCGGGAGTATACCTGTCGAGGTTGGACAGCTAAAGGTTCTCCATGTCCTTGAGCTTTTAGGTAATAATTTCTCTGGCAGCATCCCAGATGAATTGTCAAACCTCACAAACTTAGAGAGGCTGGACCTGTCCAACAACAATCTATCCGGTAGAATCCCTTGGTCGCTCACGGGACTCCATTTCATGTCCTATTTCAATGTCGCAAACAACAGTCTCAGTGGGCCGATCCCCACAGGGAGTCAGTTTGATACTTTCCGGAAATCATATTTTGAAGGAAACCCTTTGCTCTGCGGTGGTGTGCTGCAAACCTCATGCACGACGACTCCAACTCACTCTACCACAAAGGTGGGTAAAGAAAAGGTCAACAAAACGCTTGTTTTGGGGCTTGTCATTGGGATCTTCTTTGGCGTCAGTTTGATTTTGGTGTTGCTTGCTCTGGTGGTGATGTCCAAGAGGAGGGTTAACCCAGGAGACTCTGAGAACGCCGAGCTGGAGATAAATTCCAATGCCTCGTACTCTGAAGTCCCTCCAGGTTCGGAGAAAGACATAAGCCTCGTGCTGCTGTTTGGAAACAGTAGATACGAAGTAAAAGACCTGACCATATTTGAGCTCTTGAAAGCTACCGACAACTTCAGCCAAGCTAATATAATTGGCTGCGGCGGGTTTGGTCTTGTCTACAAGGCAACCTTGGATAACGGGACGAAACTGGCGGTTAAGAAACTCACAGGAGACTATGGTATGATGGAAAAAGAATTCAAGGCAGAGGTCGAAGTTCTGTCCAGGGCGAAACACGAAAACCTGGTCGCTCTACAAGGTTATTGCGTCCATGATAGTGCCCGCATACTTATTTACTCGTTCATGGAGAACGGAAGTCTTGATTATTGGCTGCACGAAAACCCCGAGGGTCCAGCACAACTGGATTGGCCAAAAAGACTTCACATTATCAGAGGAGCAAGTTGTGGACTAGCGTACATGCACCAGATATGTGAGCCACACATAGTACACCGAGACATCAAGTCCAGCAACATCCTTTTGGATGGGAACTTCAAGGCGTACCTCGCGGATTTCGGTTTGTCAAGACTGATCCTTCCGTATCGCACCCATGTTACAACTGAGCTTGTGGGCACATTGGGTTACATTCCACCAGAGTATGGACAAGCTTGGGTAGCCACTTTGAGAGGTGACGTGTACAGTTTCGGCGTCGTCATGCTCGAGCTTCTCACCGGGAAAAGACCAATGGAGGTTTTCAGGCCAAAGGTGTCGAGAGAGTTGGTTGCATGGGTGCATCACACGAGAAGGGAAGGGAAAGCAGAGGAGGTGTTTGATACATTGCTGAGAGAGAGTGGTTATGAAGGAGAGATGCTTCGTGTGCTTGACATAGCCTGCATGTGTGTGAACCAAAATCCAATGAAAAGACCAAACATCCAACAAGTTGTAGACTGGCTCAAGGATATAGGAGCGGAAAACACAAACCAAAGTAACAGAGAAGAACCAAAAGAAGAGACGTAACTGTGTGCCTTTTTTTCTACTTTCATCATTAAAACCAGAATCACACGTTCTGCATAAGTAAATATATACACTTGATTTTTTTCTTCTTGTCCACTGCAAATGTTAACCATCATTTTCCATGTAAATTAAATTTTGATGGTAATATAGAACTATAGAAGCTTTGATGATGTAAAGAAGATGAAATTATGCAGCTTGCGGGTTCCAAAAACGAGTTCTTTATAAATATCATACAACTTAAATCGTCTCATCAATATGATAAAAAAAAAGTGTTTCTGTATAAGAGGTGTGATAAAAATCAATGAATGTGTCTTGAAAACATGCCCTAATCATAGAACTTCAAAACCAATTTTCCAAAATCAAGCAGTCTTTCATTGAATATATCCATAGATCTCAGAAAACGACAGTAAAACTGAAATGAGGTTTGTAAGCGGCATTTAAACGAATAGTTGGTGTGCATAGTTACCGAAGAGGCATCGAGCAGAAAATAAAAGACAACACACAAAAAGAAGGGAAGAGTAGTATGACGCACAACAAAGAGGAAGCAAAAGAAAAGGTTTAGAATCTGAGAAGTTTAGAAATACCTAAACATCAATGGAGGATTCAGAGACAGAGAGAGAGAAGAGAAGCTTTGCAAACAGTAGTTAGGCCAAACTAAAGCTGCTGATTTGGAGACTTGTAAGGTATCCATTTGGGATATGACTTTGTCAAAACGTTGCCGTTTTGGTGTTATGAAAAGAAATATTATTGTCTGTAGACTTGTAAGTACTAAAGTACCATTAACATCTCTTGTGTTTCAAAATCAAAGAAAAATATGTCGGCAGAACATAGATTGCAATGAAGAAATCTCCAATAAAACGTATTGTTTCTAACTAACTTGTGAAGCAAGTAAGAAGGCGCGGTAGCCAAAAACCCAATTCATCTTGAGGGATAAAAGGTCTTGTGAAAATTAAATCTATCTGGGAACTTTTTTTCCAGAAACTCGTCCAACTTCTGTAGCCGTGTTTGCAATCCCTGGTACGACTCCACCTGTCTTCTCAGCTCCGCAATCTCAAGATTCTTCAAGTTGAGCTCATCCTTCAACCCCACGATGACCTCAACGAGTTTAGGGTCTTGAAAATCAGGTGAAGTTGCCCCGTCCGATTCTTCCCGGTTCATCTCTGCCGTCGAACCGTCTCGAGTCATCTGCGTCGTCACTTGCTCCGTCGTCTTCTTCTGCTTCTTTAGCTTTTCACCGTGCTCTTTACCAACTGGATCCTCCGTATTTTGATCAGAGATATCCAATCGGGACACTGAAGATATGTTGTTACTACCTTACTAAGAAGTAATACAAGTAACAATTCAAGAACTAATTTTTTTTTGCCAATTCATCTTCGCAGGCTTTGGAGTTTCTCTTTGATGTCTTCTTCGTAGTATCCAATGGCGAACAATCATTCAACCCTTTACATGTCTCGTTCAAGCCTTTGGGCTTCTCTTCGCCTTCTGACCACTGTGTGCCTTTTCTACTTTCATCTTTAAAACCGGAATCACACATTCTGCATAAGTATAAGATATACACTTCAGTTTTTCCTTGTCGATTGCAAATGTTAACCATCATTTTTTTTTTCATGTAAATTTGAATTTTTGATGGTAATATAGAAGCTTTGATGATGTAAAGAAGATGAAATTACGCAGCTTTTGTGGGTTTTAAAACGAGCTCTTTTTAAAATAATATTACACAACTCAAATCGTCTCTAGCTACTTCGATGAATCTGTCTTGAAAACATGCTCGAATCACAGAACTTCAAAAACCAAATTTTCCGAAATCAAACTGGCTGTAAAATTGGGTTTCTCGGCGGCATTTAAATGAACACTTGGTGTGCATAGTTACAAAGGAAAGCATAAGACAAGAGGCAAAGAGTAGCAGTATGACGCGAGAATAAGACGAAGTAATCGAAAGGTTAAGCCTTTAGACTTCTCTTCGCCTTCTGCCTACTGTGTGACTTTTCTACTTTCATCTTAAAACATTCTGCATGAGTAAATATACACTTCAATTTTTCCTTGTCGATTGCAAATGTTAACCATCATTTTTCCATGTAAATTGAATTTTTGATGGTAAACGAAGCTTATGTAAAGAAGATGAAATTATGCAGCGTTAATATAAATTATGCAGCTTTTTAGGTTTCAAAACGAGTTCTTTGTAGCCCTTTTTATAAAAAAAACGAGTTCTTTGTATATATAACTCAAATCGTCTCTAGCTACTTCAATGAATGTGTCTTGAAAACATGCTCGAATCACAGAACTTCAAAAACCAAATTTTCCGAAATCAAACTGGCTTTTATTGAATTTCTCCCCAGGTCGATCTATCATGCTCTCAGAATACGACTGTAAAATTGGGTTTCTCAGCGGCATTTAAACGAACACTTGGTGTGCATCGTTACAAAGGAAAACATCAAAGCGTACTTAGAGTCGTACTATGACGCGAGACAAAGACGAAGCAATCGAAAGGTTACCTGAACATCAATGGAGGATGCAGATACAGAGAGACGGAGAGAGAGTGAGGTTTTGCAAAAAGCTATGTCAACCGAAAGCTGTTGCTTTGGGAGTCGTATTTGGAATGTGTGGAGTTAAATGTCGTCGTTTTAAGGTACTTGTAACTTGTAAATAGTACCAGTTGGTAAGAATATTTTTTTTTTTTTGAGGCCATAACTTCTCTTATTTTTCAAAAGTATCACTTTTTGTGATTTTGGCAATTGTAGCCCAGAAGACCAAAACCAAAAGTGACATAACGGAATCTCTTATACGTTTATACTACTACATTACATCTTTGTTATTACAAGTCAACCAAAAAAGAGGGAGCAATAATAAAACTTGAAGAACATGATACAGAGAGAGCTAGAGACGAAAACTATACCTAATCTGGTTTAGCTTAAAGTTAACAAGAAACCCTCTTTATACTCTTTCTTCATGATCTTACAAAAGAAAATGTCAACCATGTCGGTGGAACATTGATTGAACTGAAATTTCTAAGTCACTTGTGAAGCAAGTAAGCAGACGCTGTAGCCAAAGCCCTAATTCATGTTGAGGGAAAAAGGCATGTGGTGGTTGGTCAACCAAAAAGATGAATTTAGCATAAACAAGACAAAAAAAAATATATATAGCCATATAGTTCATATATTTGGTTATATATATTATGGTTATATATAATTGATAGTTTAGTCGTCATCGTGATCAATGTAGGAGCGGAGGAGCATGGTGGCGCAGAGGCGGAGTATATAGAGACGGCCACGATGCTGTTTCACCAACGAAGAGTATTTGGTTGTGAAGCTAATCCTGGTTTTGGAATTAGGGTTTTTCTTTGCCAGATATTCAGCCATGTGTATATATAATGTAATTGTCTGATTATTGATATGAGGATGTCGCTATATATATATGTGTGCGTCTGACCTCGAATTTGGATTTACATAGAAAATAGAGATAATGAGGGTATCGTAGAGACCAAGAAACCTCGACTTTCTTGGATATGAAGGAATCTCAAAGGGACTGAACCTGGTCTGATGTTGGTCTCGACAGAATCAGGGGATTTGACCGAGAGGGAATATCTCGCCGTACGATGACTTAAATCATTTTCATTATATTCTATCACACTTATATACTGTATGATAGTAAATGAGTTTCAAGATATCCATTAATTTAAGAAAAAAAACATAAAAAGTTTTGAGATTAGTCTGTCTATTAGTTTCTTTATTAATTTTTTTTTATGGAATGGTCTAGTTGATGTTCGATGTATGTCGACGAGATGTGGAACAAAGAAGTTTCTAAGAAAGATATATATATATATATATATGTGTGTGTGTGTGTACAGAGTATTTCTAGGAAAGGTATATGTTCCTGCAAGATAGGCCTAAAATCCCCATTGATTCGGACATAAGAGATATTCTCAAAAGTCAGAAGCTCAAAAGCTCGAAAGTAGAGAAAATCAATTTATTTTAGTTTGAATGGTTGCTTATGCTTGCAGTTTCTGGATACTTACGTTACGTTTGTGAAAAAAATGGGCTTGAAGGGTCGAGGGGTGAGGTTTGTTTGTCCTTGCTACTTGCTAGTTACTACTGATAAGCACGATACTGGTTCCAAGATATGGAACCTTCACTCTTGGAAATTTCGTTTTGGACATAATCATGCCTAATTGCCTACAAATCGTATGTATCAGAAAGTGTGAGAAGAACGTTCAATCAATAATGAAAACTTTGAGATTTTAAGTTAAACGAGTGTTCATGTTTCAGTCCCTAGCTAGACAGCTTGAATGCATGGACTAAACTGTTGTGTATTTAGCTCCTGAACAAACTGTTGTGACGCACACTGTTAAACCAAAAGCTGGATTTGTATTCTGTGTAAACTCGTTGATTCTAGTGGAAATGAATTCTAATAAAACATTCATTTCTTTGAAATAATTTTTTTCTTTCAAAACATTCATTTTTAAGAAACAAGAGTATAATAATTTCTCTAACATGGAAAGTGTTATCACAAGTCAAAACTTCAAGTAATACGCCAAAAGACACATCGTCTTCACGTGACCATTGTTTTAGTTGAATTCCGTGTGATGAGATAGTAAATGTGCTATATATATATATATATATATGCATATGCCATATGGTCTTCACGTTCGTAGCATAACAATATAGAGATCTTCCTTATCGGTGAAAATAGAAGAATTCTCAACAATAATTATTATTATTTTAATATATTTTGTTATATATAATTAAATTTTAATATTTAAAAGAAAAATTTAAATAAAACAATTGTCCTTGTGGTATCTCTCCATTCGAAATGCTCAAATTAAAATTCATTGTTGTTCGCTCGATTACACCTCCTATTAATAAAACTACTGGTCAATTAGAAAAACAAAGGTGGTCATTTGTTTACTAGTTTTTTTGGATGTAACATGTGTTATAACTTCTAACCTATTTTAAAGTAATAAACTAATAATAAAATACTATTTTCAAAAAAAAAAAATACACTTAATTTTATAATAGTTTTTAGAGAAATTTGACTTTCCTATATCAATAAAATACTGGTCATTTGTTTTAGTAATTGTTTTGGATCATTATAATTTATCTAACATGGAAATGTCGTCGGAAGTGTTTCCGGCCGCCTCAAAATTGTTTTTCTAAATCGTAAATATTCATTAAAAGTAAAATGTTTAGCTGTTACAAAATGTGTTAACAAAATATAGTTACCTAAAATGTCTAATCCTACGGCAAAAAAAAGAAGATAGAAACAAGATAACAAATTTAACCGGTAGTAATTTATCAAAATTTTAGCATTATAAAGAACTTGAAAACTCGAGTAAAAGCAGAAACTGTGATTGGGTCAAAAGGAAAGATCTGAAGCTGTTTCTGCTTCAAAATCAACACGTACTATGCACATGGTCTTCACGTCCATCCATCCTTGTTTTCTTCGCATAACAATATACAGAGATCGTATAGAAATAGAGGCTTCTTATCAAAAGAAAAAATAAAAGAAAGAACGAAATATCATGGAAATTCTTTTTATTTTCCCCTGTTTTGTTGTTGTGCTTCTTGCAAATCTGAGATAAATGTATGCACTATATATCTCTAGCTAGTATATTTTAATATTCGGCTGATCAGTAATAAATGAACCCACGTAACTAACCAAAAATATATTTCAATTTTAAATTTGTCAGTACAAACACGAGGCAAATAAAATAAAAAATGATCGTCTAACAATCTCATCTTAAAGACTTTCTCCCTCTAACCATATATACAAGTCTCACTAACTTTGTTCTGCCCACTTTATTCACAAAGCCTTGAAAGATCGATGATGAGTCACTACAGAAACACCATCTCTGTTGTTTATCTCTTGTTTTGTCTCTCCGTCACATCTGCATCTGCAAGTTCCGTCATAAGAATAACCACTGATGACTTCAACACCAATCTACAGCGTATGCCATTCTTTTTTTTTTTTTTTTTTTTTTAATCTTTGATTTTATCAAATATTCAGGAAGATCCATCAATGTCCATGGACACATTCTGTGTTTTGTTTTGCCCTCTAAAAAATCTCTGTTTTTTTTTTTTTTGTATTGGTCTAAAAACAGTGGAGGAAGGAGCAGGACCAATCCCAAACCTGGACGAACCCAACTACTTAGGTACCTATCATGGCGATGGTGTGTCATCACGTGACCATAAAGTCTCAGCTTCAAAGACAGCGAAGGGTCTAAGCAATCGTGCTCCGTCGACTTACGCTCTGAAAATGGAGTCTTACATTACGCTCCTCGAGTCAAACAAAGAGATCTACCAGACTCGTCCCTTTTCGGTTGGTGGATACAACTGGTAAGTTGGTTTATCCGTTTATGTGATCTTTTATTCAAAAGAAGGCATTTTGATGGATCTTGTTATACAGGACGCTTCTTGTGTACCCAAAGGGGAACAATAAAGATAATGGTACAGGGTACGTTTCGTTATACGTAGAAACACACTCGACGACTCCCATCCCGGAAGGAGAAGAGATTTACGCGGATCTCAGGTTTTACGTCTTCAACAAGAAGGAGAATCAGTACTTTAGCATCCAACGTAATTTTCAATCCGAAAAGAATGTGAGATGGTCTATTGTAGATAGGATCTATATATCTATCTTTGGTGTGTTGTTATAAACTGCAGATGACGATGTATGGCGATTCAGTGCCTCGGAAAAGACGTGGGGATTCTCTCAAGTGATCCCTGTTGATACTTTCAAAGACCCCCAAAACGGATACCTCTACGATGGAGAGCACTGCGAGTTTGGTGTCGACGTCACCATCCCTACTCTCTTTGAAAAATCAGAACTTGTAACTATCACTGAGGAAATCTCTAACCCGACCTTCACCTGGGCGATTCCGGGATACTCCCAGCTGGACAGAAGTAGTTACAGCTCAGATAGGTTCACCATGGCAAATAGAGACTTGTAAGTCCACATCTTTATTTCAAAACAAAAACCTCTTTGCCTTGGATTATAAGATTATTTAACAACAAGTACTTATTTTATATGATGATCAGCTATATAGTAGTGTATCCAAATGGTGTTTTCGTAGAACAAGAAGTATTGTCGGTTTTTCTTAGCCTTGAAGGCCCAAGAATCTCACCCGATGAGTTTGTTTTAGTTGAAGCCGCAATTCGAGTTCTTAGCCAACGCCCATCCAACAACGTCCAAGTGAACAGTAAGCAAACGATATATGAATATATGTTCTTCACTTTGAACAAATTTGAAATGACTAATGAATGATTTTCTTGTCATCTTCCTGATTTTGACAGTCAGTACCTTCTACTCACACGGGTTTTCCTATGGCCAGACTAACTTCATGCCTCTAGCTGATCTGAGAGATCCATCAAAGGGTTTCCTTGTGAACGATGTGTTGACCGTTCAAGTCGAACTGTTCGCCTCTTCAGCAACCGAGTACTTGCCTAATTAGATTTCTCTAACCAAATGAACTTGCAGCTCCATGTTTTTATTTCGTTATCAACCGCATAAAATAAGATTCTGTGTTTGCGCTTCAAATAAATGTGCTTTTTCTTCAAACTGGATTAGACCGAACCCAAATATATGCGGATATTACGTGATTCAGACTAGACATGAGCCAAACGAACCCGATTGACATGTCTAATATTATATCATAATTAAAATATGATCATATGAGTTAAGGTTTTTGCAAATTTTAAATTGACTCTCTCTCTCAGTGAGTTGCTTTTGTTTATTCAACGTTTATCCTCTTAACTATCCAGAGCGGAAACATTTGTTAGACCATCTGCCGTAGGCATTTTTAAATAAATCTATCACCCTTAAAAAAAATAAAAATAGTAAAAAGAAAAAAAAATATTACGAAATGAGTTTCTCATTTAAAAGATTATGAGAGATTCATGAGAAATTCTCAAAATATATGTTCATTTATAATTGATTCATTTTTTATAAATTAAAATTATATGTTAAATTAAATTATACTTACAGTATTAATATTTTATTACATGAGAAACACAAATGGTTTCTAAGCAATGCAGATACTCTTAATCTTCCATAATCTTTTTTTTTCCTCTTTAACTCACAAACAGCATGTTATACTAAACATATGCAAAAGTATCTATGAATATATTTAGAGACTCGTTGATTATAAGAATATCAAGAAAACTAAGTTTAGTTTTTTATAAATCATTTAAAACTAAATCAACACAATAGAATTAAACTAAGATTTGAGAATACTTTTCTCAGTGTTCTATCAAAAAAATCTTTAGAAAATATACTTTTATTATTAAATCACCAAAACATTAATGGATAATAAGCTTAAATGACTATTTGAAAAAATTCTAAATATATCGCTGCATCATCTCCATCCCTAGTTGAGAACTGTTCATCCTCCTCGTCCTTATTCTATTTTCTATAATCCAGTCATGTGGTTTTATTGTTAACGTGAGTCAAATCTACTTCCATTTTATCTTACACCATTTTCAATGATTTACTCTATTTTTACATTAAAAATAGAGTTTTTTTTTAAAAAAAAATAGAGAAAATATCTGTTTTAATAACTCACTCTATTTTTTTTTTACTAGAAAAAGGAATAATTCAAATCTTTACGAAGGCTTCCATTTTTTTATCTTACAACATCTCCAACAATTTACTCAGTTTTTTTTATTTAAAACATAGTTTTTTAAAAAATAAATAGAAACAATGTTTGCTTTAATAGTTCACTCATTTTTTACTATAAAAAAGGAATAATCCAAATATATTCTAATTATATTTAATTATTAGTTTATTATAAAAAATTACTTTAAAAAGACACAAATTTTTTCTATTTTTAAATATTTTTAACAAAATGTAAAGAAAATTAATATTTTATTAAAATCATATGTTTAGAACAAAAATAAAGTTTCATTATACATCTAGTTATTGTTAATTTAATATTTTTATATATTAAATTAAAAGATATAATTTTTGTTTAGATACAAAATAAAAATATATTAAAATTAAAAAATTGTTTTGTAAAAAAAAAAATCTATTATAAAAAATAGAGATCTCTATTTGTAACTTCAAATTTAGAGTTACAGAAAATATCTTTATGTTTATAGTATGATATATACAATATAACCTATATAAATTAATACTTGATAAATTCATAATTACTATAAATTAATAAATTTTACTGGTTTTGAGTCGGGTGAAAATAAAAATTAGCAAAATGTGATAAAATATAAAATAATAATTTTTTTGAAGCTCTTATGTAAATATACGTAAGGATAAGCCCTACCGGAAATAGATAATCAGAAGAGCAAATTAGGTTTAAATGGATCTGTTGAGTATCCCGTCTGGAAGTCATGATAACCATATGATGTTTGGTGTGGTGGAGAACGATAAGTATGAACTGCGGAGAGAATATAGTTGGAACTCTCTCTCGGCGGTGGTTAGTAAAAGATAATGGAAGAAGAGAGATTTTTCTCGGTGGATCGTTCTGAGGGACTCCTTTAAGGGGGATTTCCTCCCTCTCCCTTAAAAGTTTGTTTTTTTCTTATCTTTGATTGACTTCTTTATATTTATATTGCTCCCGCTCGTCATGTCACTTCCTGCGAGCTCCAGAGCAGATGAACTACTCCGCATGACTGCTCATAGACAACATGCCTTCTGTTCGGGAACAATGAGCTAGGGAGTGGATAGCATATGCTTACGCGCCGCATTGTCGTCTCCTGGCTGCAGATGGTAAAAACGGGCCCAATATAAATAATACAATTTTGAAATTTTTAACATTATAAAAGTTTTACTTTAATATTATTGTAGATGGTTTTACTTTAAAAACATAGTTCACAGACAAAAATATAGTCTAGTTGTAGATGCTTTTATGATTTCCTAACCATGTTGTGGTGCAGTCGAATTTGCTCTCGAGAAATGAAAATCGTACTTTCAGGTCCATTACAAATTAAGCATCGGCCATTAACGTTGTATACACATCTTTAAAGTTGTTGAATTTAACCCTTGTTATGGGTAGTAGCACTTGCCGTTGTTGTAAATTGTTATAATGGTTTAAGAAGTGAGTTCAATCAATCATATTGATATTAGCTGATATAATGATATTGTTTCCAGATCTGGCTAGTGTTATATTGTAGGAACGAAGTCTCAGAGAAGTCCGTAAAACTTCAAGTAATACGTCAAAAGACACGTGGTCTTCACGTTCGTAGTCGTAGCATAAGTGCATAACAATATACAGACTCATTGTTATTTGCTTCGATTACCCCGCTCCCCCCAAGTCAAAAGGAAATACATATATATGTATTTAAAAAACAACTGGTCGATTAGAAAAATAAAGGTGTTCGGTGACTTCGGTCATTTGTTTACTAATTGTTTTGGATGTAGCATGTGTTCTAACTTCTAACCTATTATAGTAATATACTAATAATAACATTCACTAAATTTTGCAATAATTTTAGAGAGATTTGACTTTCCTATCTCGATAAAATAACCGGTCATTTGTTTAGACTATATACATTGGTTATTTATTGGTTATAATATTATAACATCTCTTTTTAGTTTTTTAATATTTTACATTTTTGTAAAAAAATTTCCCTGTTTTGTTGTTTTGCTTTTTGCAAATCTGAGATAAATGTATACTCTAGTCCTCGGCTGATCAATAATAAATGAACCCACGTTACTAACCAAAAATTTATTTCAATTTTTAATTTACCATTACAAACACGAGCAAAAAATAATAAAATAACATGATCGTCTAACAATCTCATTCATTATCTGCTGAACGTCTAAAAGGATCTCTCCCTCTAACCATATATACAAGTCTCACTAACTTTGTTCTGCCCACTTTATCCACAAAGCCCTGAAAGATCGATGATGAGTCACTACAGAAACACCATCTCTGTTGTTTATCTCTTGTTTTGTCTCTCCATCACATCTGCATCTGTAAGTTCCGTCATACGACAATTCACTGATGACTCCAACACCAGTCTGCAGCGTATGCCATCTTTTTTTATTTTATTATTTTTTATCAAATATTCAGGAAGATCCATCGATGTCCTTGAGATTCTATGTTTTGGGCACATCCTCCGTTTTGTTTTGCTTTCTAAAGATGCTCTGTTATTTTTATTTATTTAATTATTGGTCTAAAAACAGAGGAGGTCGGAGCAGGACCAATCCCAAACCTGGACGAACCTAATTACTTAGATAACTATCATGGGGTCTCATCACGTGACCATAAAGTCTCAGCCTCAAACACAACGAAGGGTCTACGAACTCGTGCTCCGTCGAGTTACTCTGTGAAAATGGATTCTTACACTACGCTCCTTGAGTCAAACGTTGGCGGCTACTACCGGACTCGTCCCTTTTGGGCTGATGGATACAACTGGTAAGCTGGTTATCGAATCTTATATACAGAAAGCCATTTGATGGATCTTATTAATTATTTCGCAGGACGATGCGTGTGTACCCAAACGGATACTATAGAGAAAATGGTACAGGGTACCTTTCGTTATACGTAGAAACGCACTATACGACTACCATCCCTTCAGGCGAAGAGGTTTACGCGGATGTCAGGTTTTATATCTTCAACAAGAACGAGAATCAGTACTTTACCATCCAAGGTAATTTTATAATATTTATTACAAAAAGAATGTGATCTCTAACATGAAAGATGGTATATTGTATCTAGGTTTTTTTATGTGATAGTATTGAAAAGTGGTCTTATTACTTATATAAGACAAATCTTTCAAAATTACTTAAATAAACTTAGTTGTTACAACCTTATTGTATCTTTACTTTTTTTTTTATTGACAAAAACGTTATTATGAAATTACTATTTTTTTAATTAGAGTATGACCTGCGCATTAGGCAAATTTACCTATTAATTTAATTTAATTTTTTTATATTTATATTAATATTATGTATGTTTATTCTATATTATAATGTTATTTTTTAAAATGTTTTATATTTTTATCCTAATTTATATATATTTATATTATAAATTTATTTTTCTAATATAGATTATTATGTATTATATTAATTGTTAAAAAAATTTCTCGTATATTTATACGCTATAATAAGTATTATATGTGTTATAATTGTTTAACTGGATTCGATTGGTTTCTGATTTTTTTCTACTGTTTATTTTTATAAATCAACAAAGTGTAATCAGAGCCAGCAAACGGTTTATCAAAACCCAATTACTACGCCCACATATAGCCCACAGCACTTGCACTCACCACCACGTCCACAGATTAATGTCCACACCATTACTGTCCACCCATTCGCAGGTCAACGCATTAGCCCAACGTACATAACCACTATGTACATCCCTTAACGTCCAATGCATTGCCACTTCGTACACTACCATTCGTCCACTGTTATCTCACGATTATATACACAGTCGTCCACTCATCCAACACATTCATCAAAAATAGTCGGAAACAATTTCTGACAAAAAACAACGCGTGGGAACCTGTAAACATCCTTTACGAAGGACAACTTCTATAAGCATTTTTGAGATGCATATACCATTGCGTCCACCGGTCATCATTATGTTGGATTTTTTATTGGATTTTTAAAAATAATAATTCATTTTTTTATCCCTTTTCTAGTATTCCTACTCCTAATATTCTGATTACAATTACTGATAATTTTTCTTATTTCATGCAAACTTTCGTTTCATTCAATTCTGTGATTAATTATAACTTTAAATGAGGGAAATTGTAAGTAAAATTGGCGAGATAGAGTCAAAGATCTGTTCATATGTTACATAGATTTTTATATTAAAAAATATGCTTACTTGATACACTGTTGATTTTAATTGATTTAAAAGGTTTGTCTATTTTCGAAAAGCAATTTTGATGTGTTCATCCATTTGACTATATTTAGGAATGTGTGTAAAGATATTTTTGTCTATTTTTATGTCATGTAGAGGTAATAGAGTTGACTCTGTTATAAAATATCTTGTTTTAGTTTATTTATACATTTCATATTAAAACTTTATAAATTTTATGGCTGATGAATAACCTTATCCAATATCAACTTTGTATTGCCATCATTAAGAAAAAAATGGTTGATAATTATTCTGTGCAAGTTTTTATGTCATCTTTCGTAATTGTTCACATTCCAACTCTATTTATTTATATTGAAAATAATTCTGTTCACATTTTATGTATTTATATTCAAAATAACAGTTTGAAATTTTATTTCATAGAAAATTTACGGTTTTATAGTTTGTAAAATAAACATTTGTTTTCAATGAATGATTTTACTTTAGTTTTAGATATAAATCTTTCTAAGGTTTTTTTTATATTTTTTTGAATATTATTTTCTATAAGTCATTCTGTTATCTTGTTTTATTTGCCTTCCAAATTTTTCATAAAAAAAATTTGTATTTTTTTATAACTTGTAAAATAAGTATTTGTTTTTAATTTCAAAGTAATCATTTTAAAAGCCAAAAATAAATACCTAAAATATAGAAACATAAAAACAAAATCCAACATATTTAAAAGCGCAGAGCTAAAATAAAAATTGTGTTGATGTGGACACCTTAGATGGAGAAAACACTCTCTAATTATATATACTAGGTATATAACTCGCGCTACGCACGAGTCTGTATTAATATTTTGGTTTGTATTTTTTAGTTACTATCTTTAAAATTATTAAAAGTTATATATATTTATAGAAATTTTTATTTATATAAGAGAATTTAATATATAATGTGTAATTTATCATATTTCTATTTATAAATTTTAAAAAACTATTAGGTAAAATAATAACAATGGCACCTATCGAATTATCCAACTTTGACGTACATATACATTTGATTTAGAGAAATATAATCTTGCTAAGATTTTGATATTATTTTCTGTTTTCCATAGATTTCTATAGTTCTTTTTTTCTTGAAAGGTTATGTGTTATATTTAGTTTTTATTGAAAGTCTTATTGATGTTGTGTACCACTGTATATATAATTCATGATTCATGTTGATTCGTAATTAATTTTATTAGGAAGCTGTAATGATCATGCAAAACCATTTTTTTCTTCTCTATCATATCTTCCAAGAGTTTTATGTTATATTTTTATTCAGTTTTTATTGTTTTAATTGTTAAATCGAGTTGTTGTAGATTTTTTTAAATTGATAATTGATAATGATTACTTTTTTATACATGTATTGTTAATTGTTAATTTTTTATTTAATTTTTAAAATTTTATTAACATTTTCTGATTTAGTAAATATGTTGATTTGGATCAATCAGATTGAATTTACTTTTTTGTTGGACATAATTTGTTATATTAACTTTTAATATTTTAATTATACTTAATAATTTTTTATTTGATTTAAAAGCTGATGTAGACCAATTAAATCAAGTTTTTCCATTCTAATCATACTTAACATTTTTTATTTAATGAATATGCTGATGTGGACCAATCAGATCGAGTTTTTAATCCCATGTGGATGCCCTCAATGCACTATGCTATCAACTTTTATATATTATACTAGGTATATAAATCGCGCTATGCGCGAGTCTGTATTAATATTTTGGTTTATTTTTTTAGCTATTATCTTTAAATTATTAAAATTATATAAATTTATAGAAATTATATAAGAGAATTTAATATATAATATGTAATTTATCCTATTTTTATTTATAAATTTTTAAAAACTATTAGGTAAAATAATAAAAATGACACCTATCGAATTATCCAACTTTGACGTACATATACATTTGATTTAGAGAAATATAATCTTGCTAAGATTTTGGTATTATTTTCTGTTTTCCATAGAATTTATATAGTTCTTTTTTCTCGAAGGTTTATGTGTTCAAATATATAGTTTTTTTATTGAAAGTCTTATTGATGTTGTGTACCACTGTATATATAATCCATGATTCATGTTGATTTACATTTAATTTTGTTAGGAATATGTAATGATCATGCAAAACCATTTTTTCCTTCTCCATCATGTCTTCCAAGATTTTTATGTTATATTTGTATTCAATTTTCATTGTTTTAATTGTTAAATCGAGCTGTTGTAGATTTTTTTAAATTGATAATTGATAATGATTACTTTTTTTATACATGTATTGAAAATTGTTAATTTTTTTTATTTAACTTTTAAATTTTTGAACTGTATTATCATTTTTTGATTTAATAAATATATTGATTTGGATCAATCAGATTGAATTTACTTTTTTTGTTGGATATAATTTGTCAAATTAACTTTTAATGTTAAAATTATACTTAATAATTATTTGTTTGATTTAAAAGCTGATGTGAACCAATTAAATCAAGTTTTTTTGTCCTAATCATACTTAACATTTTTTTATTTAATGAATATGCTGATGTGGACCAATCATATCGAGTTTTTTAATCTCATAAGGACGCCCTCAATGTATTATGTCATCAACTTTTATATATTATATGATGATGATTTCATATATCCAATAATAAGTTTACAAAATTCAACAAGTTTACCGGTCTTATGATCGCATACTAAATTAAATGTATAGTTATATCAGTGTACTTATTTGGTAAATTTGATTTTTTAAGTATTAAAAAAATTTGATTACCCCATAAAAATAAAATAAGTTTGGAAAAATTGAATTAACTACCATTAGAAAAACGTAACAAAGTTTTGTTTATTAAAACAACTTCTGGTTTACTTTTTCGATTAATTTATATTATATGTTGTCAAATATATAGTTTTCTTATTTATACTTGAATTATATTTACTTTTTTATTATCTAGTTTTAAATACGTCTTTTTGTTTTTAACGAAATCACCTACCAATAGAGAAATGTCACAAACTAAAATTATACTATTAATATGTCTTTTTTTCCTTCTCTTTTTATTTTTATACAATTTGTTATTTTCTTGATTTTTTTATTGAATATATTTTTGTTATATAATTTTATAGGTTGGAATATTAGTTTTTTTTAACTGTTTCAGTCTCATAGTTCATCTTTTTAATTACTTAGATTAAAGTATAATTATCCTATTTTTTTTAAAAAAAAATAAGGATTAAATCACTCAAAAAAATTAATGATACATTTTTAAAAAATTATTATATAAATTTATATGTTTATTATGTTTTTAAATTAAACTTAAATTGCATTTACTTATAATAACTTTTAAATAGTTAAATTCAAATGTAAGATATATTAATATTTGTTTATGTTATTTGATATTTTTTGGTAAATAGTTAAATTCAAATGTAATGTTTTTTAAGTCCGTTGTAGCTCATTTCTCAACTATAAATTTATTTTTGTTGTGTTATTATAAACTGCAGGTACTGATTTGTTGCGAATCAGGTCCTTCGGCCTTCCGCGGGGATTCTCTCAAGTGATCCCTGTTAATACCTTCAAAGACTCGACAAATGGATACCTCTACGATGGAGATCACTGCGAGTTTGGTGTCGATGTGACAGTTCCTTCTCTCTTTGAAAAATCAGAACTTTTCACTGTCACCAAAGACTTCTCTAACCCGACCTTCACATGGGCGATTTCGGGATACTCCCACCTGGTCGAAGAATATTACCACTCAGATAGGTTCACCATGGCAAATAGAGAATTGTAAGTCCACATCTTATTTCAAAACAAATAGCTCTTTGCTTTGGATTAGAAGTTTATTTGTTATATATATAACAAGTAATCTTATACGATGATCAGCTATGTACGAGTGTATCCAAATGGTGGTTTCGGCGAAGAAGGAAAATCCTTGTCCGTTTTTCTTTTCCTTGTTGGCCCAAGAAGCGAACCCTATGATGGTGTTTTAGTTAAAGCCAAAATTCGAGTTCTTAACCAACACCCATCCAACAACATCCAAGTGAACCGTAAGCAAACGATATATTATGTGTTCTTCGCTTTGAACAATTTTTGATGACTAATGAATGATTTCTTGTGATGATCTTCCCGATTTTGACAGTCGATGGCTGGTACGCACAAGGAGTTGCCTATGGAAGCCATAATTTGGTGCCTCTAGCTTATCTGAGAGATTCATCAAAGGGTTTCGTTGTGAACGATGTGTTGAGGGTTCAAATCGAAATGGACGCCATTTCAGCAACCGAGTACTTCCCTAATTAGATTGTCTCTAATTAACCATCTTCATGTCTTTACTTTGTCATCAACTACATAAAATAAGATTCTGTGTTTGTGCTTCAAATAAATGTGGTTTTTTTTTTTTGGGGGGTCTTTTGCTCATAGCAATATCACATAATCATATCTTTTCTTGTAAGCACCAATGAGTTTTACCCAAAAATCGTTAATCCGACGTTCGGTTATAGTTCTTTTTTAAAAAAAAAAATTAGCACACTTTTGTCCTTCTAACGTTACTTGGAAAGTGACTAATGTAACATGGGTTAATTTGTGAAATAACCACATTACACCATAAAATAAACAATATAACCATACTAATTTCATAATTAATTCAATAACCAAAATCCCTAAAATTTATCTATTTTGACCTTCAAACAAAATTTATAAATACATTATTATAGTATACTATATCGATTTATATTACTATACTATACTCTATATAAAATGTTTGTTTTTTATAAATCGTATAGAAGAGAGGATAAAATGTAAAGTGATGAGTGAGGGTAGGAGAGAAGACCGGAGGGAAAAGAGAGGGGAAAAGAAGGAGTGAAGAGGAGAAAAGAGATGAAAAAGAAGAAAAAATGAGGGAAGAAAAAAAACAGGAAGAAAAGGAAAAAAATAAGAAAGGGATAATTTTGTATATATTGTAGAATATATATAAAATACTATAGCCATTAATTTTTATGATTAGTTTGTCTATTTTTCAGTTTAATATGGTCATATGACCCAATTTCTCATGTAACATTACACCCAACAAAATAAAATAAAAAAGAGTGGGGGTAAAGTTGTGTCTCATAATTACATCCTATAATTGTTTCAACCATTATTACATGTAATAAAAGACAATTTCGCCTCTATAGGACGTAAAAGTGGGGAAATTAAGAGTACATGACTACAATTCAGTAGTTCTGTATTAAGAAGCTTAAGTTTGGTAAGAGGTCATTAGAACCAGAGTATGTATTGTTCTGACGATGTAAAGCTGTGTCTCATAATTCATAAAGCGCTGGAAAACATAAAGTTTTGTTTATTTATGATGAAAGTACACAAAACTTGAGGTACGTACATGCGTGTAGGTATTTCTCAACCCATTATTTTTGGCCATGGACGAGTCTCAGGTGCTACATGATTACAAATGATTTTGACTTTGGAGACTAGTAGAACGGGAACATCCTTAGACCCAACTTCTCAACACGAGAAGTAGAAGTAGTAGCCGTACTGGCATCATTGCTAACCTTTTTGATTTTAACGAGTATGGTCTTAGCGTCATCATTGGTGAGAACTAGTTGTGTTCCCCAAATCCCTGGGCTAACTCCAACGGTTCCGGTCAAGCTGGTCAACTTGTAAGTGTTTGCTCCGGCTTCCTCAATCTTAAACTGGCTATTTGATCTCTCCGGTACACCACCGATAAGAATCGCTGGCTCCTCGCTAGCCAATGAGGATTCATCGACTTCCCATAACTTGGAGAGGTCTTTGCAGAACGGCCAGATTCCGGCCTGGAACTCGATGGTTACATCGGTGGATGTGTTAACGATGGTGGCTGTGACCGAGGATGGAATTGTGAAGCTAACCGGTAGGCCCGGTTGAGTTGGAAGGAGTGATTGGGTGATTCCAAGTGGACAAAAGCGAAATACTGAAATGGCGGCTGGGACAAGACCACCTCCGTTGTTACTCTCGGTCTTAACCGCCTGGATGAAGTATTGTTCGCCGGCTTTAACTGCATTTCCGTCCGTGTCCTTCACCGGTTCTTGTCCGTGGGTGCAGATAGCTGCAGCCAACAGGAGAGTGACGAGAATCGAGACCATTGAAGGTATCTTCATTGTGAGAGTATTTTGTGTTTTTCTTTCGTTCTTTTTGTTTGAGTGAGTTGAGTTGTAGAGAGCAAACGTACATTGCATAGGTATTTATAGGAAAATTATGCTGTTGAATATTTGATAGTAAAAAGATTTGTTTTTTTTTTATAAATCTATCGTTTTGTCAAATAAAATCCAAAATTTTTGTGGCTTTTTCCTCACGTCACATTCTGATTATTCTCGGTTTCTAGTTTTCTAGTACAGTGAGGGTTGAAAAGAAGGGGTTTAGACTCAATGGAAATCGAATCAAACGTCTTCATGCACGAGGAACATGCACAATAGTGCATGTTAACTAACATAATACTTCAAACAGAGTGATAGTGATGAGTGAACAACCGTACCAAATGGTTTCTCATCAAAGCAAAAAAACAAAGACGATTAATTAATAAACTCACGGGAGGAAGACAAGATTTCAAAGCAGAGAGATAAGGATGAGTGAAACAACGTACGAAAATGATTCTCAACATCTTTGTTTCTGCCCACAATTTGTTTTTCAATTCATATTAAAAAAAAATAACAAGAATCACGAAATGATTTCTACGTTCTTACAAGAAAACAAAGGATGGACGACCGTACAAAATCATATAAAAAAATTAGTATCCATTTTTAACCAGAAAACGACACGCACGAATCTAAAGATGAGGAAAATTATAGCAGAGTAAAAAAGTTTTCTCAATGAACTATACATTTCTAAAAGTCTGCGAAAATTTTATTATTATATTTTAATAATGAACTATACTCTCTTCTTAAGTTTTCTCAAGCCTACCTCCATTTCTAAAATTTTATTATTATATTTTAATAAGTGTCATCATATAATGAGTTCAATTTCTTTGTATAATAAATAATAATATTATTAAAATACATTAATAAAACTTATTTGAGACACTTACTAATGGAGGTGGACTTCGAATCTAAACCATCTTTAAAGTTGATCAGAATGTGTCGTGAGGAAAAAGCCGTGCAACTCTGCCTGATCTGAGTGAACCTGTTACAGTTAGTTTTCTCAAAAAGGAACAGAATCATTAAAAAGACGGAATGGCATAGCTGAAAATGAGAAACAGATTTATTATCTTCATGATTCACTAATATAAAGTACGAATCCTAATATTCCAGCAGCCGCTAGTTAGAATTTGAGTTTTGTTCGTCTTCAAATGTGTATGAGCACATCAGAGTTCGATCGTAAAGCTTATTTGAGGTCAGGGAGATTTTTATGTCTTAACATGTAGACTCCAAAAGTATAAAAAAAAATATTATGTGCCGTATAGAGATTAGAGACACAGCATTGAGATTTCTCTTTGCAATTCTTTCCTGTCTTTATAACTTAAGAGTACATGTCTACAATTCAGTAGTTCTGTATTAAGAATCTTTAGTTTGGTAATAGGTCATTAGAACCAGAGTATGTCTCATAAAGCGCTGGAAAACATAAGTTTTGTTTATTTATGATGAAAAGTAAATAAAAGTTGAGGTACATGCGTGTGGGTATTATCTCAACCCAATATTTTTAGGCCATGGACGAGTCTCAGGCGTTACATGATTACAAATGATTTAGACTTGTGGACTAGTAGAACGGGAACATCCTTAGACCAAACTTCTCAACACGAGAAGTAGAAGTAGTAGCCGTACTGGCATCATTATTAACCTTTTTGATTTTAACGAGTATGGTCTTGGCATCATCATTGGTGAGAACTAGTTGTGTTCCCCATATCCCTGGGCTGACTCCTACCGTTCCGGTCAAGCTGGTCAACTTGTAAGTGTCGGCTCTTTCTCCGGCTTTCTCGATCTTGAACTGGCTATTTGGTTGCTCCGGTTTGCCACCGATGACGATCGGTGGCTTCTCGCCAGCCGACGAGGATTCATCATCTACTGCCCATAACTTGGAAAAATCTTTGCAAAACGGCCAGATCTCGGACTTGAACTCGATGGTTACATCGGTGGATGTGTTAACGATGGTGTCTGTGACCGAGGATAGAAATCCGAAGCTAACCGGTAGGCCCGGTTGATTTGAAAGGAGTGATTGGGTGATTCCAAGTGGACAAAAGCGAAATACAGAAATGGCGGCTGGGACAAGACCACCTCCGTTGTTACCATCGGGCTTAACCGGCTGGATGAAGTATTGTTCACCGGCTTTAACTTGATTTCCGGCGGTGTCTTTCACCGGTTCTTTCCCGTGGGTGCAGAAAGCTGCAGCCAACAGGAGAGTGATGAGAAATGAGACCATCGATGGTTTCTTCATTGTGATTACAGTTTTGTGTTTAAGTGTTTGGTGTTTTTTTTTTTCTTTTCTTTTTGTTTGAGTGAGTTGAGTTGTAGAGAGCATACACATTGTATCCGTATTTATAGAAAATTTATGCTGTAAAAATTTAAAACCGCGTGTGATAGTAAAAAGAAAATAACTAATCCATCATTCTGAATTTGAATATATCTTTTGGCTTTTTCCTCACGTCACATTCTGTATTTCTGATTTTTCTCGGTTTCTAGCATTCTTGTACAGTGAGGGTTGAAAAGAAGGGGTTTATACTCAATGGAAATCGATTCAAACTTCTTCATGCACGAGGAACATGCACAATATAGTACGTGTTAACTAACATATAAAGGATGATCAAATAATTCATGGAAAGGAGATAAAACTTCAAACAAGAGTGATAGGGATGAGTGAACCAACGTAACGTTTATCAATATATCTGCTTCTGGCCACATTTTCTTTCTTATTAATGTAAACAACTTACTAAACTTTGTTCGTAACCTGATACCTTGTACACGTGAGCTTTCTCATATATAGGCTAGCTCATACTGTTTTACAGTTAAAATTTTATTATATAAAATTAGACGCATTAAACATAACCATAACATTTATATCATAATTATAATTTTTTGATAAAATTATACTATTACGATCTGCTTTATGTCCTAGATAAGTATTAAAAGATCGGCTCAATGGATTTGCCAAAATGCTCCGATTCTTCAGAAGTGTTTACATGTCTGGTGTGCCTCTTTAGTGATGATATATAGACAAACTAATTTTCAACTTTCAATAAATAATTACTAAAATTAATTTTTAGGGTATTTATGGACACCTGATCTCGATTTTGAAAAATGTATTATGAATTTAGGCTAAAAATTCTTAAAGAAGAAAAAACATTCACTATCACTTGCTTAATTAGTCGAAAAATAAATAGAAACACAAAATATTTAATATAATATAAAAAATTACACGTGCTGATTATAAAACTAAACGTGGCCATTTGTTAAATAATATATTACAATTTACACTATGAGATGTGGTTTGAAAATCGAAAAGAGTTATTGCCTTTATTAGGAGATGTGTCCCTCTCGGCGTCTCTTATTTGCGACAGCTGTATTGCAATTCATTCATCAATAATATAGGTGGTGACTGTATTATTCGTCTAGAACTCTAAATAAATATACGATGCTTAGAATTAAAATCTCAACACAAACCTTGAAACTTGCCAAAAAAAAATGACAACCGAGGAGAAAAAGAGAAACTATGGATCAGTCTTCATGTTCTGCTTCTTATGTTTCGTATTCATTGCAGAAGTCGTAAGATTCGGAAAACCTTATTACAACCTCAAACAAAACCTCATAATCGAGACAGACGAAACAGTAGCTGAAGCAGTGGTAGAAGGAAGTCATTACGTAAAGAACTCAGTACTCTCGCCATGCCATTTCCTGAGATCGAGCTCTGCTTGTTCTGATCCTAAGACAAACCAACACGAGAAGCTCTCGGCAGTGGCGACGCTATGGAGAGAGCGCCCTCCAACTTCTTACTGCGTCAAGTTCGAGTCTTTTGCGACTTTGTCGAACATCGTGAAAGATGGAAAGTACGAGTCACGTCCTTTCACAGTCGGTGGATACAACTGGTATATATATATATATGTTTCAAGAATCTGTGTTTTTACTTTCATTTTTTACTTTGTCTAATCACAGCATTTGGTTTTTAAAATGAAGGACGTTGTTGATCTACCCGAACGGCAACAAAAATGACGGAGGGACTGGATACGTTTCGCTTTACGCGAAAATCGATAACTCAAGTCTTGTATCCGATCCAAAAGATGTGTATGCAGAAATCAAGTTCTTTGTCTACAACAGAGTCCAGGACAAATACTATACCTACCAAGGTATATACGTAACGTATTTCAAGTCCCGAAAAGTTTTTTGTTTGTCTAAAGCATTTACGTAAATATATAAATAATTCGTTAATTGCAAGCTAATTGTTCGAGCTACTATGATGCCCATAATTAAACTTTTTAATACATTTTTTGCTGTAGAAACTGAGGCCAAGAGGTTTCATTTGTTCAAACCGGAATGGGGAGTGCCGTTATTTCGACCGGCATCGTTGTTCAAAACGCCGGCAGCCGGATACATTTTCGACGGAGAACAATGTGTTTTTGGAATTGACGTCTTCGTTGCTCAAACCTTTAAGGAATGGGAAGTTTTCTCCTTTGAAGAAAACATCAAAGATCCCATTTTCACATGGAAGCTCGCCAAATTCTCAACTCTCTTTAGTGACTCTTATACATCCGATTCCTTTTCTTCCGGAGGAAGTAACTGGTGGCTCTCCTTTCTCTCTCTATACCTAAATAGATAGGAAGTAACCTGACCTATCTATTTATGTGTTGACATATAATGGTAATTAATGAATCAGGGCATTGAAGGTTTATCCAAATGGAGATGGTTATGGAAAGGGCAATTCGTTGTCACTCTACTTGTTGAGTGAGTCTAATGAGAATGCTTACGTTCGAGCCAAGCTACGAGTTCTTGACCAAATCCAATCCAACCACGTCGAGAAGCTAGGTCGGTGTTTTCGCACAGTATCTATAATGATGTCCTTAATTTAATTTTGTTTCCTATTTTGCTTTATTCCTTTTTTTCTTCTTATGTACAGTGGAGGGATGGCCCAATGTAACGGCAGATAATAATGGATGGGGTTTCGAGAAGTTTGTACCATTTGCAGATCTTAAAAATGCATCTAGAGGTTTAGTGGTGGACGATGCGCTCAAGGTTGAAGTCGAGATCATTGCCTTCTCTAAAACAGACTCCACCTTAAGTGACTAGAATTTGGATTTGATTTCATGTCCTAAATAATAAAAGAAGAGTTTATCCAAAACACTTACGATGATAATAATAATTAAAGACCTTGAATAACTCTTTGGTTAGTTCCTCTCAAGATGTGAGTCATGTGACCACTTTTGTTTATGTAAGAGTGACGTTCTTGAGATTAAATCAAAAGTTTTCTCCAATATCTTTTGGTTACAAGTTTGATCCTATGTCCCAACAGGAGTCAACTCGATATATCTCACAATTTTTTTTTATTCGGGCAAGGAGATAATAACGTGGCGACGATTAACTCATAAACCCAAAAAAACAAAACAAAAAAGGAAAGGAAAAACTGAAAAAGGCTTTTGTCGTTGACTTTAGACGTGTTAAAACGGCAAGATGTTTACTACGAGGAACAAATGAATCCTATTGGCTAAAGCACGTCACGGGACAAACGAAATAAATGTCTCCATCACGCGCCGACTAAACGTAGCGCGTGATATTCAAACCCAGCGTCGCGCTGAAATGTCAAAATAAAAATGCGGGCATTGAAACTAACGCATTCATTTCATGACGTTTGCTTAATATGAGCCGATCTTCAGACACAACAACAATGGGGTTTTGAGATTTTCCGCAAGACGCAAAATTAAAAATAAAAAACGTAGATATATATATATATATATATATATCGTGAAAGGATTTATTGTCCAATTTCGAGTTTTGTTTTGTATTTTTTTTCATAAAAATAAATGGGCAAAGGCGCAATCAAAGAAGAAGAGAGCGAAGGGAAGAGAAGAACATGGCGATGGCCTTTGGCGGCTTTGGTTGTTGTGTTATTGGCAGTTGCTGTTAGCTCTAGGACCGCTTCTAATGTCGGTTTCTTCTTCACCGATCGGAACTCTTGCAGCTGTTCACTTCAGGTTTTTGATTTACTCTCTAGATTCTCCATCTTTTGCTTTGAATTTGATCAGCTGATGAAGGAATTTTGACTTTCTCAAGTAATTTTTCGTGTTTGAATTTATCAAGTTTGTTTGGTATTGAGGGAATGTTGATGAAGAGAGAGAGAGATAAGAGAGAATTGTAGGTATTTTCATTTGTTAATGTTCAACAAGCTTTGTTTTGATATGGGGCGATGTAAAAATTGAATTTTTTGATTGCATTGTTTAGCCAAAACTTTGAATCGTTTTCCTGAAATGTGCCCATGCTCTTTCTGTTTTGAAATGCAAGATGTGTGATTGTCAATGGTGTTGCAAGATTCAATCTTTTTCAGTGGACTTATCTATGATCAGTATTTGATTTTGTTTTAATCTGATTTTCAATTTGGATATTACAGGGAACTGGTAAATACAAAGGTTTGGTTGAGGACTGTTGCTGTGATTACGAAACAGTGGACAATCTCAACAGCGAGGTCTTGAATCCTTTGCTTCAAGATCTCGTCACAACCCCATTTTTCCGGTACTTCAAGGTCAGTGATTCTGCTTTTGAAAATTCGATTTATGTTGAAAAAGTTACAAAATTTATGGTTGTTTTTGATTCAGTGGTGTAGTTTCTTGGATGTGGATATGTTCTTTGCGTTGATGGTACTCTTGTGAATGGCTAACACTTGCCACTATTCTCTAACAGGTTAAGCTATGGTGTGACTGCCCATTTTGGCCAGACGATGGAATGTGTCGTTTGCGTGATTGCAGTGTCTGTGAATGTCCAGAGAATGAGTTCCCTGAACCGTTTAAAAGGCCGTATAATGTCGCCGGTCTTCCTTCTGATAACCCTATATGTCAAGAGGGAAAACCGCAGGCAGCTGTTGACCGGACTATAGATAACCGAGCCTTCAGAGGTTGGGTCGAAACCAATAATCCATGGACGCATGACGATGACACAGATAGTGGTATGTAGTTACTAAAAAACAGTAGAGTGAAATGCTTATAGAAAGAAGATTTTTTGGTTCTGTATTAGTATGTGTATGTGTTGAGATGGTTGGAATTGACTTATGTCTAGGTGAGATGAGTTATGTTAATCTTCAACTTAACCCGGAGAGGTTTACTGGTTACACTGGACCTTCTGCTAGAAGGATTTGGGACTCTATATATTCGGAGAATTGTCCAAAATGTGAGTTTTTCCTTTCGTTACCATATTGGTATTGTGGGACAAAGGCTTGTGATGTGATGATGTGTGTAAATGGGTTTTTGCAGATTCTTCTGGGGAGACATGTCCAGAGAAAAAGGTCTTCTACAAATTGATATCCGGTCTTCATTCTTCAATCTCGATGCACATAGCTGGTGATTATCTTCTTGATGAGTCACGCAACCAGGTTTGTGTTTCTGAGCTACTGATTAGACCCAACTCTCTCAAGTCTTGAATATGTTATGGTCATGGCTGACATGTTTTCATTGGAATGCAGTGGGGACAGAACATCGAGCTGATGTATGATCGTATTCTGAGACATCCTGATCGTGTCAGGAATATGTACTTCACGTATCTCTTTGTGCTACGTGCTGTAACAAAAGTGAGTAACTTTTCTGCAAGTTGGGATTTTGACATGTCACTCTGAAGAATCTGTAAGGACTGAGTGTTACAACGTTTTGTTCAGGCAACAGCATACTTGGAGCAAGCAGAGTATGACACAGGAAACCATGCTGAAGATCTGAAAACACAGTCATTGATTAAACAGTTGTTGTATAGTCCGAAACTCCAAACAGCATGCCCTGTTCCGTTTGATGAAGCTAAGCTGTGGCAAGGTCAAAGTGGACCGGAACTGAAACAGCAGATTCAGAAACAATTCAGAAATATAAGGTTCGTATCTTATTCGTGGAGCATAATATGTTCTTAAGGCAAATGCTGAGAGAGTGGCAATAGTAATACAGCTTACTTATATGACTGTGTTTGCAGTGCACTGATGGACTGCGTAGGCTGTGAAAAATGCCGGCTTTGGGGGAAACTTCAGGTTCAGGGTCTTGGGACAGCATTGAAGATTCTCTTCTCTGTTGGAAATGAAGACAAGGGTGACCAAACAGTGAGTTTCTTAACATGTGTATATGCATCGTCGTTTTCTAAATAAGCATCCTGAAAGATTCCTTTTTGTTCTTTTCAGCTGCAACTGCAACGGAACGAGGTCATTGCATTGGTGAACTTGCTCAACCGTCTCTCTGAGTCGGTTAAAATGGTCCACGATATGGGACCCGACGTAGAGAGGCTAATGGAGGATCAGATAGCTAAGGGATCAGCTAAAGCTGGGAGATTAAGAAGAATATGGGATTTAGCTGCTTCTTTCTGGTAAATCTAACTCTCATTCCTTTCTCAGTAATACAACGAACTGTCCAGCTTTGAGGCATTCATGCTGAATCAGTGTAGGCCTAGGGTGGATTAGTCATCGTTGTAACAAAATTAAAAGCAAGAATCGTCATAGAAACAAAAGATTTTGGTAAAAAAAAAACAGATAAAAAGAAGAAAAGAGATTCTTGAGGTTACAAATTTATACAGATACAGAAACAAGTCGAAAAGCAGTTTATAAGTCTCTTTGCACATTAGACTATTGATTCTATGTTGCTTCTCTCCAAATTTAGCTTAATAGCAGTAATAGTCTCTGTTCTTGAGAAGGCTATAACAGAGATGACAAAAGCACATTCTATGTTCTTAAATAAAAATCAAATCTTTCAACTGGATTCCAAGAAAATCATATCCAATGCACAAACTCACAAAACCCGAATCCATCTATATACAGTAGGATCAATCAAATTCAAACACGGGAGGATGATAAAATGTCAATCATCCTCCAATAAATCTAATTGGATGAAGAGAAGTTAAGTCATCAGGGTCTTGAGAAGTTTCAGATCCATCTCTCTTTCTCCTTCTGCATCTGTTTCAGTGGTGTCTCCTTTAGACCTGCCTTACGAGCATTGGTTAGCAGAACCCTGTGAGCTAACCTTCCTCTGCTTCCTATAGACAACCTAACTTTCTCCATCCCGACGTTAATGCCACCTCTTCTCAACGGTTGCTGTCTCGGGGAAGATTTCGTTTGCATTCTCTTCTGCATGCTTCGTCTCAGTATGCTGCTCAGCGTCTTCGCGTTGCTTCTGTGCAACTTAGGGCTGACGCAGAGCACTTGGTTAGCGCCGCTCTTTTGATCAGGCGAGTTTGTAATAGCTTGGCGTGCTGGTCTTAACGGCGAAGTTGATGTGATTGGGAAGAATGGCATTGGGGCAAGAGAACTCCTTCTTGGAGCTGGAGGTGGTAGGATACGTTTGGGACAAACGGAGAATCTTCCTGTTCTCTTGGGTATTTGCAATCTCTCAGCCATTTCTGGATTGTTCTCCTTCTCAGTGAGGTCGTTGTGCTTGAGGCCACCGTTAGGTAAAGGAGGTAGATCATAGATGGTGGTGCTCTCCGACAGTGGTGGTCGGGATAGATTCACCATTTCTTTAGAAGTCGAGGTCTCGCTTGAGAACTTGTTGCTTCCCAACAGTATGTTTGCAAGTGGTGGTCTCTTTGATGTGTTGTTTTCATCTTCGTTCTGCTGTTTTGTCTGCTGCTCAGCAATCTTGGTGTCTACGTGTTGACGAGCCAGCTTCCTCTCTACCAGCAGTTGTGATTCAAGTTCTTTGATCTAGTAAAGAAGGTAAATATGTGATTGATTTTTAGCAAGATGAAAATTGTTATAACCCAGTGTTGTTCTTGTGGTTATTATGGTGAGTATTGTTTACCTTGTCTTGAAGGGTTTTGTTCTTAGTGTCTCGTTCCTTAATCTTTGCTTCTAAACCGAACATCGTTTCCTCCATTTTCCTCATCTGTTCGTCTTTTCCTTTCATGTCTTGCTTCCATTTCTCAACCTGATAGAGAATTAAAATTTTCATCTTGAACAGTCATACACGCATATGATTTGATAAAACACATATGTGGAATATGTAGCTTACCATTTGCTTGTATTTCAAGAGTTCTGTATTGTCTAGCTGCTTCTTTGCAGGTCCCAACTCTATCCCTCTTACTCTGCTAGCAAAATTCAGTGAGCATAGTGTCTCGCTTAGATCCTTCTCGTTAGGACTGATTTGTACGAACATGAGGGTCTTCGAATCTCCTCCTGTCACATACCAGTCATTTCAGAATTTTATAATAAAGTACATAACAGAACAATTTAGTGAGACATATATGTAAGCAAAGAAATTGATTGCTGCATTGAGAACAGAGTTAAGTACCTAGAGAATCCTGAAGTAAGTGCGTGAGCTTTGAATTCCTGCAAAGGTAAATACAAAACAAAAGTCAAGTTGGATAAAAAAAAAATGGTGACTGTAAACAAAAGTCAAGTTGAATAATAGATGTATTATTTCTACCTGAAAGGAATATGAGAGCTTTTGTTGGCAAGAGCGAATATGACATCACCAAGAGCAGATAATGACTTGTTGATGTTTTGGGTCTCCTTGAGCCGTTCTCCTTGCACTTCTGTTTTTGCAACCCGTTCGCTTCCTGCTAGATCTACTAACCATAGTTTGCTCTTTGTGCATTCTCCATTCAACAAATTTTCACCTTTTACCATCACGCAGTGAATGCTGTGCAAAGGAAAGAAAAATAAACTACATTTAGATAGCTGATCACCAAAAAGATATTCGGGAAAAGGAGACTTGAACTAAAAATCAGGTACGCAGACCAGTGAGATCGGCTGCTGTGCTCATTGGCCGTTGTTTTCCCAACAGCCCTTGCATTACTTCCTGTTTTCAACACATCCCAAGCCTCCTCTATGTTTTTCACGCTTGCTTCAACCAATCCTGGTACGTGGTGGTTTCCTTCACTCACTTGCCTTATCTCAAATCTGAAAAGAACAGTGATGTAATTCTAAGACAAAGAATGTCGAGCTTCTATTACTGATAGTGGAAACCATTTGCTGAATTTAGTTCAAAAAGTTACTTATAGTCCTTACTCCTTACTGAAAAACCAATTTATAATCAACGTGACTTGGCAACCATGGAGCTTGGGAACTTCAGAAAAAAGGTAAACGAAGGAGAGTATACAAAGCTTATGTAGTACCTTTTCAGCGCAGAAGCACTTTGTGAAGCAGGGACCAACAAATCTCTTATTTGCTCGTTGTAAACTTCCAAGACACTGACAGAGATCTCATAACTGTAGCGGTTTTCTCGTTCTTTAATTATTTCAAACAGATTTTTCAGCGTTCTGTAATTTACACCACGGTCCTCTGGAGTTCCCTCCATGGTAAACGTTTTCCCTGTACCAGTCTGGCCATAGGCGAATATACAAACGTTGTATCCATCAATGACTGACGTAGCAAAAGGAGCAGTATCTTCAAAAACATCAGCTATAGAAAAAACAGAAAATTTTTTTTGTCAGATGAGATTCCCTGCAAGGAAAAGTATGCAAAGGTTGATAAGGGATGCCAAAGATCACCTTGGGAAGCGTTAGGACCGAAAACAGAATCGAACTTAAAGCTTTTTTTGGGAAACCCATGTGACATGACTATGACCTCCCCACTTTTGGTTGACTCGGCATCAATTCCCATTGTTACTTCGGCTTCAATTTCTTCAAAGTTTAGGGGCCGACACCTGCAAAAGACCCTGATGTTTCCTGGAGGAAATAATGGTCACTGTAAGTTGTAAGACTATCAGTTATAGTCAAACCTTTTAGACCCTGATGTTTCCTAGAAGTTATGTTGAGTTTAAACACAAACCTTTTAGCTCTAGTATCTTGTTGTATAGTTCCTTCCTCTCTTTTTCTCCTGCTACAAATTTGACTTTGAGATTTTCATGCAATTCTGCGTCCTGCTTTACTGTTAAAAACAGATGTAAACGGATCAAAATTCACAGACACGCGATTTTATAAAATCATTATAGTGCTAGTGGAATGCCCAAAGACAGCAAGACCAAGACTTACCTCTGGAATGGATGTGAGAACTGAACTCGTTGATATCTTGGACTAGCAATTTGTAAGTGGATGCTTCCTCCAACAGCTTAATTTGCTCCATTTTCATAATCTGTGAACCCATTTTCGTTAAAATGAGGCATAAGAGTTTGCAGTTGCTGGTAGTATCTTAAGTTTGCTTCTGTGTACCTTCAATTTTCTTGTCAAATCTCTTAATGAAGAGAACCATCTGCTCTTCTCTTTGACTTGTCCCTCGACAGCAAAGGCTAGATATAAACAAGCATCGAAATGTCAACTTTCACGCTTGCAAGGAAGACGAAAACGAGTAGAGAGGGATGTACATACCCAAAGAACCAACATGCATCGACTTGCGCATTAGCTCATTTTGAAGCTCACGGAGAGAATTCAATGCTTCTTCGCATTCTCTACTCTTTCGTTGATTCTCTTGTTTAAGTTCGTCAACCATTCTCTTCATGTCCGCCATCTCTTTCTCGTGCTGTTCACAGTCATTCCTTACCTCATGGGTCTCTTCTTCCATCTTGCAGTCAACATTTTCCTAAAAACAGTAACATTTTAACACTCTGCAACAAATATACACTCAAACTAAACTATAAAACATCAAGCTTTTGGAAGATCTCTCACTTGAGGTGGCAGAGACAGAACAGTATCTGTTTTTCCTTTGATCGCTAGGATTCCAGTGTCTTCAACATCTGGAAAAAGTAAAATTATGGCAGACAAATTGAAGTTTGATTAGCCAAAGTATATAGTTCTCTGATTTCCAAGCAGCATATGAAACCAAAAGTCCCACATGGAAGATAAAAACGAAACAAAAGGAAAAATCTTGTCGAAGATACAAAAAGGAAGAAAGTAACATACAAGTAGCCGTTGCCTCTTTCCTTATAGAAACGCCACATAGAATTGCGGTTCCTGTCACTCCTTCTAATCGTATAGATAACTCTCCTTCCAGACCAACGAGCATCCTTAGATCAGCTATCACAAGAGGTGTATTTGCTCCTACTTGCGAAAACAAATCAAGACCCGATATGACCTGCAACAGTTTCCAGTCGACCATAACCGAGTCATGAATGATAGATATGTGATGAACAAGAACACAAAGAAAAGCTCGAAGCAGTGATGCCTTGCCTTTGCTCCTTGAATAAATATATCGAAAACTCTAACTCCCGCTGGACCTTCAGTGAACTCGATTTCAGCAAAATGCAGATCGATGAAGTAATCCCCAGGATCCAATGACTGAAACGTGTATGCGAAATTACCAAGTCGAGCTGTTTGATACAGCAAAAACTCATCCTCATTGCCAACAACAGCATCAGTCGAAATACTTTCACCGCCACTGAAAAATTCATCCTTCAGGAAAGTTACATCAGCCACAGTCACGTCCGTGCTTGCAGAACCCGAGTTGATGCTTATTACGGGAGTTGTACTCTCCCTGAAGTTTCCAGGTGGAGAAGGTAACTCAAAGGAAGACTCAGGAGACAACTCAAATCCGAATGTTTGATTGATTGCTGAGAACTTCACAGATGGAGTTTTACGGCCATTGATCCCATTCTCTAGAGAAAGCTCAGTGGAAAACCTGATTTTCTGAGCAATTTCTGGGGAATCCTCGTAGCTGCCTCTTGGTATATCTGGTGAAGCGCCACAATTGACTAGATCGGGAGACGTTAGAGGAAACCCTAACACGAGTTTTCCTGAAACACGATCGATCCGCTTCCACGCCATTAATCTCTATAATGAGACGATTTTTTCCGAAAAACGGAAAGAGGAAAAAGTTTCGTACCATCTAACGCTATGGGATCACTGCATTGTTCCACTTTCATCAATCCCGGGCTTGATTCTTCCATATGAACATCTAAATCAAATCCGGATTAAGTGAAGTAAGAGAGAAAAATCAGACTCTTCTGTATTCCGCATACATAAGCTTCAAATTTCATATGACTTACCGGTAGTTAGTTCACAATTTGAATCCAGATCTACCATTGTCGTAGTCCTTGAGCTCGACACTAGAGCTTTTTCAGCTGCTGATGAAACGAAAAAAGTGAGCAAGCAAAAAAAAAAAATTCTTCGATTCCATAAGATAAATCGAAATCTCAATTCTCACAGCGAGAGAAGGTTTCATGTCGCCAGGAAGCATCAGTTGCGAGAAGTGGATCGTGCCATTGATCACAACAATCCTCCATGAAAATCCAATCGACAAATTTCTCCCAGATAGATAGAGAAGAGAAGAGAAGAATAGAAAATCAAACAGCGAGTATGAAGAGCGAACAATTTCAAATCGGCTAAACGAGAAGAAGAGAGAATATTTGTGGTTAAGGTAAGAATCAGATCCTCTTTTTTTCCCCTTACGGTTATTTTAACGTTATTAGACGACCGTTTGATTCTTTTTACTACTTTGAAATTTGAAATTATTTTCCCGGGCAGACGGGCAATCATTGACCTTTTTTTACGGGCAGATTCAATTACTGACACGTGGCAATATAACCGAATCCACAAGTGGACATAACCGAATCAAATGATATTCATGTTAGTTATATCAAAAGACAACGAGTAAACAACAACACACGCCATATATATAAATCTTATGAAATTTTATCAAAAGAATAAAAATGCCGGAGTAAATTTAAATTCAGTGTTATGCAATATGCTGTTGAATTGTTACAGGAGTTGTACTTTCCTGCAATATGAGCTCAGCAGACAGCAAAGCTTTGCAATAAAATACCAAAATCTCTTCTCTTGTAGCTTTTGTTTGAACATTGTTAATCACTTTTTTTGCATTTAAACGGAAAAGGCAGAGTAGTCCTTTTAGTTCATAACCGGCAAAAAATCGTAATTACATTTCTACTATGTCTATTGCGATTTAACAATAGTGTCTATTGATTGTAGAATGATAAAATTTGTTAAACTAATAAACAAACAAATTTTTGAATAATCTTTTTTCTAGTTCTATCAAATTAAACAATTGATTGCATGTTATTAATAATAATCAAAAGTTCAAAACCGATCAACAACTGCTTTAGTTTGATCTCTGGGTTTCTAGGTTACAAAAAATATTTTGTTAGATTTAAAAAAAAAAAACTTTTCAAATTCAAGTTCAGATGGTTTAGTTTGAATCAAATTTATATTTGGGCTCGCTTTGTGCTATTTAGAAATTTGGATCGGCTGAGAACAAACCCATCATATTAAAACCCAAACTGTGGCAAATCCGACGTATCAATTAATTTAACAAAAATGTCAAGCAACGCTGGCCCATTAAAATTGGTTAGGACCATCAAACTGTAAAATAATAATTTCAACTAATTTTTTGGTGAGGTGTGCCAGGCCCTCGCGATAGTGTAAGACGTGGGCGACACGTGAGAGTCCAATCAGCAAGCTGACGTGGCAGACTCTCCCCAATAAAAAATAGAGTTAATATCGTGTGAGCCGATGGCTCACATATCAGATATTAAACTGATAAGAACAGATACTACACTTGATCTTAGCCAAAAGGCCGAGAAAGGTATGAATTGAACGTGCCGTCAAGAATTGTTTTTATATGCGTCGAGTTTGAGTGAGACAATCCTGAATTATCGATGTGGGACATTGAAAAATCAGTGTGAGAACCATGTTTGGTATTTGAATTGGCTATTTAGAAATTTGGCCCAATACATATTGTGAAATTTAGCCCATTAGTTAGTTTGATAACCGAGGCCTCAAACCCAAATGTACAAGTGTTTTTCTTTTACTTAAATTGTAGGATGTATTAAATTAAATTGATAAGCTTTTTACAAAATATAATATTTTCCCTTTTAATCTGGAATTTTCAAAATAATTAAGATGAGTTTAGTTGGATTTTCACAAAAGATATGTTCTTAAAGAAGCTGATTATCTTAACCAATATGTGTAATTTGGTTAACTTTTTGTAGAGTTGTAGAGATCAGTAAAGTAGTGCTTGCTGCTACGTAGAAAACCATTAACTTACAAAAAAACTAAACTTTTACTATCGAAGAGGCAGGAGTCGAATTATAATCACACCTGTAAGAATTCTGGTTTTTTTTTGGCTTTTATCTTTAGTATTTATGCATCTAAGCTTAATAAAGCTCTTGTATAAATCACTCACATTTACCTAGCTATCTAACTAATTATGGTATCCTAATTTCCGTTGATACTATAGATTCCGTAAAGACGATATAATCAAGGCCATGCATGTTCTTTTATACCATATACTTAAATTATTATTACAAAATAATCCATTTTAATCTTCCTAATTAATTGATTTCTGCCTCTTTGTTGTTAAAATGTTAAGACAATTGATTTAGTCGATATGCTTATATATACGCTCACAGAATACTACTAATGATGTATCATCTCATGTTGAAACAAGATTAGACAAGGATGGTATTTAGATCGGTTTTTAGTTTCAGTTGGTTTGAGAAGAGTCATTTAACTTATTATTTATTCTATATGCATATTCTAAAAACGTATTGGCTGACTAAAATTCGTACACTTGGTTGTTAATGTTAATCATTGAAACTATAGTTTAATGGGGATCATAGTTCTTCAGTAATTGATGATTATCGATGAATTAAAAATATATATACTAATGTTCAAAGAAGTTTCACGGGACTCCATTCATCGGTGATGATATCGTATCTTCTAAGTTCCAAGACGCGCAACACATACACACATCTATCTGTAAAATATCTATGATTGTATGTCTCAGTTAACATTAGTAGTACGGCTTCATTAAAAATGTGAACAGCTGTGATGTAATGTAATATGAAGTGAATCATATGATATGAAAGTACAACACGTCTTTGTCCTCTAACCGTACCATCTGTCTGGCAACTAGAGTAAAAGTCATGCGCCAGCCTATCATGTCATAGCTCTTATTTATTTTGCATTTTTTTTTTGGTTGTCAACAATTTTTTTTTTAACCTTTTTGTTTGTCAACAATTGTTCATTCTTTTCTTTGATTTCCTTTTCCCAAAACATATCCTACATACATGCATACCAAAAAATGAAACGTGAAAAGAATTATCAAAGTTGATACATCATAAGTACATAACGTTGATACGGTATTGTTATTAACCAAGAACGTGTGACCCAAGTGTTTGTTCGAGTATCTATGATGGGATCGATGAAAATCACTTCTATATCAATAAAATTTATTAAAGATGGTGGCAGTAAAACAAATTTACTAAAAATTATAATTTCATTATTCTCAAAGCAAAAGCAATGACAATGAAAAATATTTGATCAAAATATATATTATGTACAGAGATCGTATTTGAACTTAAATTTGACAAAAATGGAAAAAAAATTAACTACTTAAAATGTGTCGTATTTACAAAACAAATGCACCATCATCACCGACATAATTTACAATCAGCAACTTTTGACCAAGAGTTATATTATTGAGAAAAGAACTTTCACTTCTTTTATTGGGTTACAACAAAATTTCAAAAAAAAAAATACAATTTTGTAGGTATAAAAATCTTAAGCATTTTTAGCTGATTCTCTGCTTTTCCCGAGTGATCAAGAGTGAATACATAAAGAGAATTATATTGGTGTTATGAATTAAAAACTTTGTAAATAAAATAAAGAACTAATCTACGATGGATCCGAGCAGTAATCTGAACAAAAAGCTTTGCTTCTTTCCATCCTTCTTTTTCTCTCTGTATCGATATTGCAAAGGAGACGAACACGAAGAGACCGAAGAAGAGGAGTAACAAGACGAGACCGACGTGGAAGAAGATGCTGATGAGCAATAAGATGATGCCGTTTGAGCTGCGTTTTTAGTGTAGTCGTAGTACTCTAGAGATATCTTAGAGAGCCTCTCGGTGAGACAGAGGGAACAGATTCCAGGAGACTGCCTGTGTTTCGTGTGCTTCTTGCATGAGAAGTTATTGTCCGAATCGGAATTGGAATTTGATCTCTTTCCTTCAGGATTCTTTGATTTTATTGATCTTCTTGTTCTTCTTGATCTACTAGTGATGTGGAAGATGTTTGCCATTGATGAAGTCCGTCGTGAGCTCTGTGTTATTTTTTGGTTTTGGTCTTTTCTTTAGCCGTCTCGTGATTGTATATATATAGGTGCTTTCCGTAATTAATGCAAAGCTGGTTTTTATTTTCCATGATGTTTCCGAGATCCTTCTCTTCTTTTCTTTATTCTTTTCATTTTTAAAGAGGTAAAGAAAAAAGAAATATTGTAAGTAGATGTTTTGGTCGAAATTAATGTGGAATGGGTCCAAATTTTACTATTATTTGTTTTTTTTTTTTTTTATCTTTTTCGTCTATTACCATAGTCTCTCAGTTCTGAATTTGAATTATAGCATGACACTAGTATACTAATGACAGTATAGATACACTAATAAAAAATGTTAAGTATCAAGTATCAATAACACTTGTTTCTTTGTGATTAGTCATAAGATCATTTGATACCAAACACCAATCTTACCAATTTATATTACTAATGAAGATAAGTAGACATTTTGTTTGTATGTGAATGAAAAAAATAAAGTTGGTTAAGTAGATGCAAACATTATTAATTCTGACCAAACTTTTTGTTCTATTCTTGTGTTTGGTTTAGTTATGAGATCTGGAGTGGTTACAGTGTATTTTCGTAGATGGACGGCTTAGATGCGTTAAGAGCTCAGGTGGGTCCATCTAAGTAGGTAAGTCGGTGGGCCGGATTTATTGGGCCTTTATATCTCAAATGTGCACCAAGGTCAATGCCCATCTGTCTGTCTTGCTCCTGACACTTGTCGATTCTTCATTCCTCAGAAAGATCGTTTGTTATCAAACCCATGTTTCTTGCAAGTTTCAAGTATTCTCACTTTCACACTCCTAAAATATTAGTAGTAGTATTAGAAAAGTTGTCTCCAAAAATTGATTATCTTAATAAACCATACACAAGTGGTGCAGAAGTCAGCAGAAAATGTGTAATGAATGTGTAATGATGTGTCAGTTAAAATAATTGATCGCAATAAAGTTTTGGAATTCTGGGAATGTATTAAAGCCCATTATAACTAATCGAAAGCCCATTATAACTAATCCAAAGCCCATTGTCCCCGGTGCATACAAGACTTTTCATGTTTTGAAGTACATTTTTTTTTGGGGTCGAAATTTGATGTACGTTTTTAGTAAAGGTTTATAGCAATAAAGAAATGTAAATTCGAAACATAGGAAAAATATTATTAGAATAATTAATCACAAAACAAGAAGCATAATATAATAATAGGGCTAATAGCACTGCCTCTAGCCTGGTCTTTCAAACGAGTCAAACCACACCACAACACTTGTAACCAACTAAGAAAGAGCCAAACCGTATAACAATGCAACTACACAAGTCACAACCAAAGCCTCGAACGGCTTCAACATAGCTGTGGCAGAAGCAGAAGGAGCAGCCTTTCCACCTTCTACCGGAGAAGTTTTTCCTCCCTCTGCCGGTGTATTTTTGGCGGTGGCACCGTCTCCTCCACCGCCTGAAGAGGCTGCTGCACCTACGTTGACGGAGAGCTTCATGCCGCCGCTGCAGTGGCCTGGGATAGCGCAGATGAAGTAGTGAGAACCAGATGTCTTGAGAGCTATGCTTGTGGTTCCGCTACTGTCGGAAGAAATTGAGTTCCCCAAGGTGCAACTCTTGTAGTCACTTTCACTCACTTCGTCCACCGTGTGACCCGCACCGTAATTGAACACTATATGCAACACAATGTACACATACATATATTACAACTAATAGGCATGATCTTGATTGTTTGTACTTGTTTGCATTTGCAAGATACTTTTAATATTTTCATCAGTTTTTATTTTATTTTTGGTGACTTATAAACTCACACGGAATTTATTTCACAAAAGGTGTATTATTATCTAGAAACTAGAAAATGTTTTTTTACCTTAAAAGTGTGAAAATTTCACATGTTAAATGCATATAATAGCGTTTGCAATAACTACATATAATATACATAAGAGAGGCTATATATATATATATATATATGTTACCGATGGTATCGCCAACGGCAAATGGTTTCCCGGTAGCCAATGAGCTATAATCCTTCCCGAGCGACCATTCGACGGAGTGAGTGGCCGAAGAGGCAGGTGTGACAACAGTGAAGAAGAAGATGACAAGGCAACCAACAAGTGTACACAAGTTTGCCATTTTGTGTGTGTATGAGTGTAACAGTATACTTAATTTTAAAATGATGTGACAAAGGAAAATCCTTGTGAGTTATGGGCAAATTTATAGAGACTGAAACCAAAACGGGATGTTGGAGTAAGTAGAGAGTTAGGTCCACTTGCCCTCCAACTAAAGTTCTCATCATGTAAGTTTTGAAACTTTTTTTTCATATTTTGGGAAAAAGACTTGTTCCTCCTCTCCTCCTCTAGCTTTAAACATACTCAAAGGAAATATTGCTATACACCTCAAGAAAATGGGTCATGATATGTTTGGCAACAGATCATAAAGTCACACTCATCAATGGGTTCTTTGTAAAAAGATAAATGATGATGAAACTATGTGTCATCATCAAAGTTCCCTTAATGATTCAATACAATTGACCAAACCAAAAGCAGACGAACTAACTTTTCTTACCGAGCAATCACCGAGGCTTTGCAACAACTGAAGTCGAGTACGTGACGTAAATCAATTAAATTTTAACACTAACCAATGAATGTGAATATGTGACCATGTCCTAGCTAGATTCCTACACCTTGATCTATTTAGTTTCTTATAACATTGTAGCTAGTATTTTTTTTGTTGTTGTTGGTCTAAATGTTAAGATGTAGCTAATATTATTAGTATGATAAAAAAAAAAAACAAAGGAGGTTTCTCCTTTCAAAATCAATTTTATACAAATATATACTTTCTTTTAAAAAAAAAAAAAGTGTATACAATAATGCTTCAGTCTTACTATATCTAGAATCTAAGTTAACAAAATGGTGATAGTTGTGTAATTGGTTTGAAAAACGAAATTAATCTCACCGAAAGGTGCAAGACGTACAAAGCATGGATATGATATGATTGAGACCCTGCAACAAATTTAACTGGTCATCAGACCATGATTCATAATCTGTCTTCAGCTTTTGCTAGAAAACTCTTTTTCAATTTTTTTAGTAGACTATATATAGACTTGTTTTATTCTTATATATATATTTATAGATAGTTAGCTAAACAATTTTGATAGTAGATTATAATTTTGAAAAATAAAACAATTAAAGATATATAATGTTTATTCAGATTTAAAACATATAAATACATCACTTAAGCTAATAAAAAAATAAAATATAATATTCATTAACAGTATAAAAATAATTTAATTATATTTAAAATATATATAAAATTTAGCAAAATATCCCGCAGCGTAGTACAGTAAATACTAGTATTTTCTAAATTGTTTTCACTAAGCCAGCCTATTTTTGTTTGAAAACGTATTCAAGTGAATTGATAACGTTAAGAAATTAAAGAATCTTCCTGCAAACGAAAAAAAACCTTTACACAAAGGAGACTGAGAGAGAATATAGTGTCATTTGAAAATCTTGAATGAAAATAATAATTAGTTTACTTTGACTGCACATCAATTCTCGGTAAATCATTTGATAGATATAGTCTTTTTTTTTTTTCTTTGATAGATATAGTCTTTGGTACGAAGAACTTTCTAAATCTGTAGCACGCATATTGCAAATGAAAGTCAAAAGAATCTGTTTACATATTTAATTAAACTCGATCGGATTAGCAACAATTCTATAGTACAAACCAGTAGATTACATGTCTTGACATAATTTTCTTACCGTTTTCTTCTCAATAAGAAAAACAAAAAACAAAAATCATCGGTTTAAACTTTAAAGGGAAAACATTCTAGTTCGTGCTTGTGACGTGCTATATATCATGTTTGTGTCACCACTTATATGTGATCTTTAAAAAGAGAGAAATCTGTTTTTTCAGATCCAACAAATCTAGTTATAGTAATATATATTTTTCTCGCTGTCCCAAAGTATACTATGATATTTTTGTACTATAATAGTCTGCAAAGCCTAACAAAAAAGGATAAACTCTACTTAAACCTTCGAAAGCCAAGGAGTCAAAAAGCTCCAAGGTAAAATATTGTTTTCATGACTACGACTCTCCACCATTAAACCAATTAGAAGACGCTTCAATTTATCATACCGAAGATGAGAAGAAATTATCATCTTTATTTCTCTCTAGTCTGAAAGAAACCCTAAGATAAATACAAATTTTCTTCTACATTGTCAAAACCGAAATCCAATGACATTTCACTTCTCTGTTTTCGACCACATACTCTTACAAAATTCTCTTGATCGTTTTCTTGTACTCCAAGCAACAAATACGCTTTCCTTAATGGCGGAGAAGAAGCATCGAGAGCTCTTGTCTATGTTCGCATCAGAGACAAACAAAACATTAGATTGCTCAATATGAATCTGTGAACCGATTTGTCGTTACAATTGATATCAAGACAGTCCTGTTTGATAAATCTCGGTAAGGCACACAGTATTGTTAAGACTGAATGCTCGAAACCCTTTATAACTTGTTTCCTTGAATATGGAACAACGAATAATAACATATTCCCAAACGATTGTATGAAAGAAATCCAAGTACAAGATGCTTCATGGTTCCATGACGCATCGCCATTAGAGGTCTCATGTAGACTCTCTAATTCACCGACAAACATCAAGCATAAATAAAGGAAAGAGAAATAAACAATCATATCATTTGAACAAAAGCCAATTCAAAACTCAAAACAAATGAAATTACACAAGCAAAATGAACATACTGTCTCAAGATAGATGCAGTAACACCACGGACCGAAAACTTAACGACAGTTCAAGATTTCATGGTTTTCCAAGCTCTCATATATTAGAGCTAAACCCTAAGAGCAAACTTACGTATCCCGTTCATGCTCATTCGCAAGAACGGTTTTGGCAATGGTAAAGAATGCTTCATCAACATTGTAGTCTTCTTTTGCTGATGTCTCGAAATAGGGTATGTTACCATTTGAAGCACACCAATCAGCTGCTTTCTTCTCAGAGACCTGTAGTTGAAGAAGGTTAAAACAGAGTAAAAGACTTAAAAGCCACATTAACGGATAACTAATATCTCTTTATCTTCCTTTACCACTCTACTGTTCCCTCCATCCATGTCCACCTTGTTTCCAAGCACTACGAACGGGAATGCCTTTGGATCCAATGGACTTGCCTAGGCAGCACGAGACGATGCCACGGAAACAAGATACAATGATACAAGTTTGCATATTATAAAGGGTGAATGCAAGGAATCAAACTGAATAAGGCATGAGCTTTATAGATAAATGAATGAATTCTAAAAATGTTCATGAACACGGAACAAAGTTAGTTACATATACTTGGCTTAATTATAAACCTATGACCACGTAAATGAAAGTGACTCGTTCAAACATTACAAAACATGTTGTTACATTGCTCAATTAATCATATCTTGTTTACTAACTGGGGAATAGCAACAAGTACATGAGGTTCACTTTGAGACAAGGTGTTCTGAGCTGGTTTAAGCACGAGTTATGTTTTTTCTTTTCAATATTCTTTGTTAGAAAAATAAAACTCATAGGTTCAAAGGGGAAAAAAACGTAGTTAATTATATTCTAGTTCGTCTTTGTTACGTGCTATATATACCACGTTGTGTCACCACTAATGTGTTTGATCTAATAAGTTTTGTTTTTCAGATCCAACAGATCTAGTAAAGTAATATATTTTCTTGTTTTTCACGCAGCCTCAAAAATATCATAATCTGCAGAAGGCCAACAAAAGGATAAAACTTAACTTAAATCTTCGAAAGCCAAAGAGTCAAAAACTCAAAGGTGAAATATGGCTTTCAAGACTAAGACTCTCCACCAATTAAACAATTAGAAGATGCTTCAACTTGTCACAGAACAAGTCAATAACAAAGATGAGAAGAAGTTTCATCTTTCTTTTCTCTTTAATCTGAAAGAAACCCAAACATAAAAATCAAATCTTCTTCTACATATTGTCTAAAACCTAAATTTCAATGAACATTTCACTGCTCTGTTTTCAACCACTCACCCTTTCATATTTCTCTTGATCTTAATTTCTTGTACCCCAAGCAACAAATACTTTTTTCTTTGACTGTTTCTTTAATGGCGAAGAAGAAGCATCGAAAGCTCTTCCCTATGTTAGCATCAGAGACAAACAAAACGTTGGATTGCTCAATAGGAATCTGCGACCCGATTTGCCCTTACAATTGCTATCAAGAACCAGATTACTACACCATATCTCCACATCTACCTCCATGGTCATCCTTACAGCCAAGCACAGCTCCATCTCCATCAATCTCAGCCGTTTATCAACCATCTCAAAACACTTCAACTTCCATAGACGCCATAACCATCATCACCGTTACAGGTGCGGTATTAGCCATCCTTCTCACCGGATTCTTCTTTGTAGCCAAATACGTTACAGAGAGCGTGAACAGAGTCAACCACCAGAGATACCAGTCCGAGCGAGATGTCGATGACGATACGGTGGGTGATGAAGAGTTTCAAGATAGGGAACAAGTGATTCATCCAATCTGGTTAATCAGAACAACAGGTCTTCAACAATCGGTCATAAACTCGATCACGATCTGTAGTTACAAGAGAGGAGATGGGTTGATCGAGAGAACAGATTGTCCTGTTTGTTTAAACGAGTTTGAAGAAGACGAGAGTCTTAGGCTGCTGCCTAAATGCAGCCACGCCTTTCACATATCTTGCATCGACACTTGGCTTAGGTCTCACACCAATTGCCCTCTGTGTCGAGCTGGTATAGCGATCAGTGCCGCCACTCCACGGCGCTCTGGTCCGGTCGATGTAACCCCCGAAGGATCAGGATCTCGTTCGGAGAACGACGGAGTTGGTGAAGGACTAGACCGTGGTCGAATCGAGAACAGAGATGAGTTAGGGAGAGAGAGTGATGAATCGGGTATTAAAGAGAGGTTGAGTTCTAGTTACCGTGATTCGGACAACACAGATCCGAATTCAGATGTCAGGGTTGAGATTTCTGGTGTTGTTAACGAGATTAGTCGGAACTTAGAGGAAAACGACGGTGACGTGTCCGAAACAGAGACGAAAGAGCAAGTTTGTGTTTTGGGGAAGTGTATTGATCCAAATGGAGGAGATTCAATTGATTCTCTCTCGCTTACGAAAACCCAGACAGAAAGTAGAGATTTTTCTGGAAAATCATGCGAGAATCAGAGACAGGATTTGACTATACAAGAGACGGGAGAAGAGAACAGACCCATCGGAGACGAAGCAAGCTGTTCCGAAGGTAAAAGTGGCGACAATGTCGAATCACTGAGAAGTTCAGATTCCATTGATTCTGGTGAATCAAACAGCGAAGAAACCGAAGAAGGTACAGGAAAAAGTCAGTCAGGCATTTCGTCGAACACGTGGAAGACAACAGGAAGCTCTTCGGTATCATGCTTCAACAAACACAAAAGTTCGGTTTTTCCGCTGTAGTAAAGTCTCTCTACCAAAAAACCATTTTTACCGAATACTATTAAAACAAACAGAAAATAACAATGCAGAAGTGTTCAAGTGTATGTAACTCCAAATAGATAAAGCCAATAAACTGTATACACACTCTTTTTTGTTCATTGTTTTCCTCTGATGTGTCCATGTTTATTGATTTCCTCACTCAGTATTATATGATTTTTGCAATGATGTATATTGTATATATCCTCTAACACATGACTACTCTTTTTTAATAACATATTTGGGCCGACAAACCCAACCCATTAACCATTTTAACTCTGTAATGTGGACACGTCGAGTCGAATTCCGAGGCAGAGATTTGATGTACTTGTGGTTAATGTACTTTTTATTTTTTTTTGAACAATAGGTTAATGTACTTATGCAGAGAATATTATGATACAAAAAAGGTTTATATGAAAAAAGTTACGGTGTTGATATTTTGTTTTCATTTTTATATGAAAGCATTTGTTTCCATTTAGATGATATGAACCAACGGTGAGGAAATATATCCATTTCAATCACATCTAAAGCAAATATTTACTTAACACAAAAGTTAAGGAAAAGTTGGTGATTGTAAATCACAATCATGAAAAAGATGCTATAATAGAACAGTCATCTATATAATTGAGGGAATAATTTTTGAATTTGTCTAATCAAATCGATAGGCTTTACTTTTTTTTTTTCTGGCTTTTGCTTTTTAACCCCGAAAGTGAAAAAACATAGATTCTGAATATCTCTTTGATAGGTCTTCATGATACGACAATCATCATCGTCTTGTTACATGATTCCCACGTACTGCTATAAATATGTGCGTCCAAGTTTAAAAACAAATAATAGAGTCAAGGATTCATGATTCATGATTCCTGAGTTTTCTGTTTCCTATTTAATCATTTTTCTTGAAATTAAAATGTGCAACAAAAAAAGGCTCGAACTAGGTTTATATACATATATATATGTATATATATATGTGTGTGTGTGTGTTTATTTTCTTTATACGTTTTGTTGGAATTGTTTAAGTTCAAATAATCAATGAGGCAGTAAATGTACAATAAAATTATCGTTAAAAAGCTTGAAGTCACTGGAGTAAATGATCATATTCATTCTCCTTTACAAAACTTCAATATATTTTCTTACAGAGCATCATTGTCGGTGAGACATAAATTAACAAGCTTATTCTTTGTTTGGCTTGTGCATGTCAGAGAAATTATCTAAATCTAGAATCTTTCGTAGTTCTCGAATACTGCTACCTAATTAAAACGGATTCCATCACAATAACACACATTCACCATGTCGCAGTAAACAAATGCTAAATTTCGATGATGGATAAAATAGAGAGACGATAAAAGGAAAAGACACATGAAGCATCTAACACAAAAAGAGAAGCAGTATAAAAAAACAAGGGCAAAAAAACAAATTAAAGACCAATGGAAAGTATTTATTTTTATTTATTTTTAATATGGAAAAGAGAGTAAAAAGATCACACATGAAAAATTAGAGTTCCTCTAAATGTGTCATAACTAAAATTCAAGTATATTAGCTAAAGGATGACTCTTCTTCAATCCTCCGCAGGATTTGATTCATAGCTGATGCAATATCTTCCACTGTGTGCAATTGGCTCCCTTCTTCAACCTGAATCAAGCCAGCTTTTTTAATTAAAAAAAGAATAAACTAAACTTTGAATACTAATTACATGAAAAAGGTTGATTTAGTAAGAAAAGGTAAAGGGGAAATAATAAAAGAAAATGTATATATTTCGAGGAAGAAGCTTATGAATGTGTCCTGAAACAAGTGGCGTCATTTCGTTCTGCCGTGCACAGTGCATCCACAGTTCTGTGACCACCAAAACTTCCACAGTACACACATACACACACATGTATAGGTATATGTCATCTTTTTGGTCCCTGATTCTTACAAGAATCATAATAATGATACTCACATTTTTTTTTTTAATAAATAAGAAATGATGATTTTGACCCCCCAATAATTGAGGCTAGCCCTAACCAAGTAAAAAAAAACGAACGATATTTATCATTGTTCTTTAAAACCTTTTTTGGCCCAGACAAATAAATCACAAGACGTACAAATAAAAGACAAATTAAATGTGTGACAAAAAAAAAGACACATTAAATGAATAAAACAACTATGATGGGGGGAAGAATCAATGAACCATAAATTGACCCAAAACTAACAATCAAAATTAGCGACCCATTATTACCGCTTTAATTTGTAATTCGCAGCATAAATAATACAAACCCTAAAAACGGTATTATATGTCACTCTAACTCTAATTTCGTTACGAAGCTAATATGAAAAAAACAAAAAAACAAAAAGTGAGAGAAGAGATGTACCTTTAGGCTGATGGAATAGAGGACGGAGTTATCACGAGTGGTAACGTTGAGATGAAGAAGAGTTAGCCTCAGACTCTGTATCGATGCGACAAGTTTAACTAGCTGTCTCGGACGCTTCTTCGCAAGTATCTTTACACTCGCATGACTCTCCACCATAGTCACCTCTATCTCCGCCATTCCCTCAGCCACCGACGACGACGAAGGCCGGCTCGAATATTGAGGAAATGCAAAGAAATCTGAAAAAGGTTCCGATGAGCTGGCGGCGATTGCGTTGGTGTTTTTGCCGGCGGCGGAACCGGTTTCTTCTGCGGCGGTGGTCTTTACCGGAGGCTGCATTGATTGTAAATGATGCTCAAGCTCCTTTAAGTAGTTAATGGCTCCGCCTACGATTGAAGCTTGATCTCCCTTTAACCACCACCAACCATAGGTTAAGCCCATAGAAATTGCAAAAGGTTTTTTCAAAAACAATCAAACATTTCTATTTCGTACCTTGTTTTTTTTTTTTTAAATACTTTTCACAATTTTATCATGCATATATGATCTATCGTCCTTTTTGAGTGCAATGATGTTCTAGACTTTATTTATGCTCCCACAATTCCACTACCAAAATTTTCATCTAGAGACTGTATCATCTATTATTATGATAACAATAACGACTTTCGTTTTTTTTCTTTGTCAACATAACGGCTTTCGTTCATTGATCCATCATTTTTTTAATCAAATCTATGTTTAAACATACACATGTACATGCAAATCTATATGTCTATTGCCTATATATGTCCTGATGAAAATAGAAGTCTAAAACATAGGCTTTGCCTTTTCCTTTCTTTTCTTTTATTTTCTTCACGCGTGAAGAAAAGATTTCACGCGCACATAGACACATATAGTTGTTGTATAGAGGCTAGAGACTAACCCTTTGAGCATAAGGAGTTGGCATGAGAGAACGGAGAACGGCGAGGTACTCGTTCATTTGTTTCCGGCGATTTCTCTCGACGGCGATGTGAGTCATCCTCTGGTTCTCGATCTCTTCCTTGTTCTTGTTACTCCTCGTCCTCCTCCTCTTCCTTCTTCCTCCTCCCGTCGCCACATCCGACGGCGGAGGCTGGTTCTCGGTGTCGACGGCGGATCTATAAAGAAGGTCGTCTTGTGACCATTGAAGATCCTCTTCGTTGTAATTATAATCATCACTGTTATCTCCGCTTTTTCGGTTGTAGTTAATACTCGCAAGCCTATGTTCTTGTTCTTGCCCTAGCTTAATGTTGTTTTTGGTGTCTTGTAGATCTCGATCTTCCTCTTGCTGAAAGTACAAGTCGTGAAACGGAAAATCTTTGCAAGAGATGTAGGAGAATGGATCTTGCGGGTACACAACAGCCTCCAACGCCATAACTAGCTAGAAATTTTGATGAAATTAAAAATATGAAAAGGGTCCGAGCAAAAGAGAGAGAGAGAGGGAGAGGAGAAAAAGAAAGACAGAAAGTGTTTGTCTTTCTCTTTTTGTCTCGAGAGGGAGACAAGGCAAAAGGTAAAGACACACACTAGGGAAATTAAACTTGTAAATATACCTCCACAATAAAAATGAAAAAATAGATTAATAGAAACTTTTCTCCTAAGAACTTAGCAAAACTGAAGAAGAAAGGATGAGAAAGGAAAAAGATACAAGAAGGTCAAACAAAGTTGTGGTTTTGATCGATGGAAGAGTGGAGAAGCTTGTGAGCTTATAAAACTGTTTTTTTTTTAAAATAATACTAGAAGAAGTCCTGAAAACAATTGAGTTCAGAAAAGTAGAAGATATAGAGAGAGAGATGTTGTATGTTTTGTTTTGCACGTGAGATTATAGACCGGTCCACAAAACCAAAGAAAAGATTCTGTATGTTTTTGCAGGCTTTGGAGTTCGTCTAGTTACACTCATGTTCGAGGAGAGAGAAATGTAAACAAGTTGAAGTCTCAACTTTATACGTTGCTATGAATTAATGTTTTTTTCCCGTATATCATGTGAGTCGCTATAATCAAATGAAAGCTAAAATTAGTCTCAAAAAATGGATATGTTTTGGATGATAATAATTTATTTGGTGTATCACCTTTTCGGTGTTCAATTAATATTTTGCTTCTATAGTGCGTGTGTAATGCGTATAGATAGAGAGATACTGAACTTGACGTCAAAGATTGTTTTTTTTGTTTCTATGTATCAGCCGACGTCAAAGCTTTATAAATTCGACGAAATCTAAAGGCTTATTTATACGAGTATTTTCCGCGAACCATGCGGTGACAATGACCGCTGATTTATTCTTTCTATGAAATCATTATCGTTTTATCACATAACCCTACCCGTAATGGAATAACCGTAAAAAACATCAAAATTCATGCATGGGTCCGAAAGTTTATTGCCTGCATATAGATACAAGTTTGGATATGATGATTTCTAGACTGAAAATTATTTTAAATCAATAAATATCTATATTAAATGTTACATACTAGAATTTTCATTATTAGTTATCGGCTTTTAAAATGAATAGAATCTTACCAACTTAGAGTAAATAAATTATTGTAGATAACAAGCCACATCTTACTAATTTTTAAAAAAAAATAAGTAATTTTGGGCAAAAATAAATACCATATGCATAATTTGTTGGTGAAGTTAGTGAGATACATTATACTCTCTCCGTTTGATCATAAAGAGTGTTGTTTTAGAGTTTTGTTTTTGTTTCACAAAAAGTGTTGTTTTGTATTTCCAATGTAAATTTTTAAATAAAAATTCAGTTTTAACTTTAATATATTATGTAATAATTTAAAAAATAAATTTGTTTAATATATTTATAAGAGAAAGAATAAATTTTTTATTAAGTTTTTTAATTTATATAAAAAGTGTCGAAATAACATTCTTAATGAAACAAAAAAAGTAGTGTTCTAAACATATATACTTGCATATTAATTTTAGAGAGAAAACAAGATGAAGAGATAAAACTTACCTTTTCGCCGCCATCGACTCCCCGCCTCGTGCATATATTTTTTTTAATTGCTTCACAAAACAAATTCATTTGGTCAGTTCTATAGTTTACAATATGATTTTTTGATATCAAAATCAGTCGACTATATAATTTTTGCATGGTCTGAAAACGATGACCATAGCAACTCATTAATTCAAAATTGAAAACCTGAACTTCGAAAAGCGATGAGATTTAACAGTCACATTTGCTTTCTAATTACACATTCAAAATTAATTACAAACAAAATTCACGGATAAACAATAAGAATAACAATTCGGCGGGTGGGGTAATTGCTTTTACTAATGTAATCATGTCACGTTTAAACAAAGTATAGTTGATGTTGACATAAGTGAGAACTAAAGAGGATGATAGCCAAAACTTAATTTGTATAGTAATTAGCTAGGTGTCGTCTTTCTATTAGCCTCTTTTCATTAAGCACTGTATTCATTACTGATTTTTGATCTTAAGAAGATGTGAGAAATGGATGGCTATGATACCACTTAGGGTTGCTATGTAACAAAATTGGTTGGTCACATTAAAAAATCAATCAACCACTTAAATGTGATAAAAAAATCTCAGAGACGAATAAATCATTTGATCAAAAGAACCCTATTTAGAAACACGATGGGAAATAAATCTTGATCTATGATTCTCTTGTCTCCTTTGAGTCCGTGTACCTATAATTTTTTATTTTTATTCGACATAAAAAGATACCAAAATTTCAAAACCACCCAAGTAGTACTCTAGTAGGGAAACTAGTCCCTCGATTGTAAAGCCAGGCAGGTATTTTTTTCTAAGGATCCTGCAAATTCTTAATTATTGATGTAACATGCATGGGACATTTTCAAGAGTTAGTAAGACATCAATTTGAAGAAAATAATAACACTTTATAGGTAAGTCGATATCTGAATTATTTTCTCTTACAATTTATGAAAATAATGTCATGGATAACTTTAATTACAATGTACAATTCTCTTTAAGTACAAGAATCACAATTCTACATGCATTACATTTATAATACAATTGTCAATTTGTATCTTTGATATATGGAACCTAAGTCGAACGCTCAATGTTTGCTAAAAAAAATTCAGTAAATTTACCTCCATTAATTTATTTGCATTATCTAAGAATGAAACTTCAAATTTACATAAAAGGAATTTTCATCATGCACATTTTGAGTATATTAATCAAATTCTGTTTATTTCATTTTCCCAAATTTAATTTATGATGAACTAACAAAATATATAGCTTTGTGTTAAACATGATAGGTCAACTTTTAGTTATTAACTTATTATTATAAGTGAGTTTATGCGGAGTATGCAAAACTAAAAGAAGTAAAATATTGAAAATGATGCAACAGTTGGAACTTTTTTTATACTAGCAATGTGAAATCTAGCTGCTGTAAAAATAAATTGACGGTGGGGACAAATACGTAAAACTGAAACAAGAATGAGAGAAGAGTGAGCCATGTGACCTCACAAGTCACAACACACTTCTTCTCTCTCTCATAATAATCTCAAACATATTGGCTTCTCTTCCCGAGAGGACCTCCCAATAACACAATCCAAAGCGCTCACTCACTACTCTCTCTCTCTATTTCCGATCAAAAAGTTGAGTAGCTTTCTGCAGCAGTTCCATTTCCAACGTCTTTGTTTCCCATCTAGCTTTTATCTCATCCTTTGATTCGCTTCACCTGATCAAATCTTAGACGGGTTGTTATTAACACACAATCATTTTACAAATAAGACTATAATTTGAATTAATAAACTGAATTAATATAAGTAAAATTGATTTCCTTTTAATAAAAAGTTCTGCATTGAAAACACAAAGCTATATATCTTGTTAAATGAAAATAACAAACTAAAATTATTTGATTTTTCAAAAAGTGTAAATTTTTATAAGAATATGGATGAACGTATAGTTTGTTTATCTATTTTTATTTTTACTGGAATTATGCTACTCTTTTAATGTAAATATATTTTCATAATTTTTTTCCTACATATATTTCCTACTTAAATCCAGTTTGGTGTAAAAATATGGAGTATCTAATAAGAAATTATAAAGTTTGTTTGGTGTAAAAATATTCATGATCTGAAACGGATGAAGTATTTAGTAACCAAAAGCATCGGATAAATATACAACAAAACTACTTAAATCCGTACACATATATATATATATATATATATTTTTTTTTTTTTTTGTCACCCGACAGCGTGAATGGATATATCGAATACGCCACATCTAGTTTTTCTATCGGCTCAATAAAATTTATAATTTCGATAATATCTCTAATTTCCAGCAAGACATTCCATACGGTTTTTTGGTTTCTGATGGTTTGCGATTTTAATATGTATATACATTTTTCATGCACTTTTTTACTAAGAACGAAGAGGTTTTTTCTCGAAGAGTGTGATAATTTTCTGTAGATGGAGATTATTTATCATGTAATTTTATCAGATTTCCCGTCCAACATGACTTAAACTATGATTGAACTAAAAATAATTTAGGGTACTACGGTGTAACAAACGATATTGTAATTCTTAATTTATTCTGGACATACTCAAATTACAGGTCGCGAGTTTTTCCTTTGTCGTATGTAGTTAGATGCACGCTCTTCTACACGTCTCATGTCCTTATTATTAAATGTCAGGATTCATATTAAATAAAAGTTCAGAACGTAATTATCTGGTTTAATACATTTCGTACGTGATTCGTGATGCCCTGGCCATATCTTCGTCGGATTATGGCACGCATATATTTAAACTATTATTTTTGATGATTTTCTCAGTCTGATTATGCTCTGCTTTTTATATTTTTACAGTAAACCGCACTTTGTAAAATGATCTGCTTAGACTTTGACTGTATCTCATAGGTTTAGACCGTTTAAAAAAAAAAAAATTATTACATAGAAATTCGTATTTATAATGGTCTGTCAACTCAAATCTTGATTTGAGTTTGTCTAAAACTTCGAAAAATGGAGAAAATTTTGGAGTTTAATAACATACAGTAAGGAAAAGGAAATAACTTCTATAAAATCAACACAACAATAGCACTAAAATCTCTCCTTGACACTTCAGCAAAAATAATCACCAATTAAAACATTTTATTAATACATTTCATCTACTTATTTTAATTTTTAAACTTAAATCCAGTAAAATTCAAATATTTTTTCTATTAATTTTTGTTTTATTTTTTACCAAACCCAAGCCCAAATAATTAATAACAGCAAATAAAAAATTATTATTTTATTTTTTACCAAATCCAAATAATAAATAAAAACAAATAAAAAATTAAATCATGGTTTTTTTACCAAAACCAAATCCAAATAATAAATAACAACAAATAAATAATAAAAAATTCTAGCTATCTATTTGTTTGACATACACGTATATGATTGACAAAGTGTAGACTCAGCATCAACTATGCTTCCATGCAACAACGCAAAAAACCTTATGTTATAAGAAGCTCACACATCAGCAAAAATTTGAACCGATAAAAACATAACAATTCCTTAGTTTTCGCGGCAAAACATAATTTCACGGTAGATAATGCAATTTTTGGTTTTCGCGGAAAATTGTAGTTTATTTGTTTTGTAGGAAAGAGTGGTTCTGGGCTTGACGAGAAAATGATTTTTTTTTTTTGCAGGAATAGACGATTTCTCAGTTTTCGCAAGAAAAAATAAATTTTTCGATTTTGGCAGGAAAATATAATTTTTTTTTTTGATTTTTGCAGGAAGATGAATTTTTTTGGTTTTTGTGAAAAACGTAATTTCTCGGCTTTAGTGAAAAAACACAGGTTCTCACGGAAAAATGAAATGTTAGGTTTTAGGTTTGACGAGAAAATAATTTTTTTTGGTTTTAGTGGGAATAGCCGATTTCTCAGTTTAATGGGAAAATGAAGTTTTTTTGTTTTGACGAAAAATACGATTTCTCGATTTTTATAAGAAGATAAAAAATTTCTGTGCTAAATTTCCAAGTTAAAGTATGTTTACAGTAACCAAAATTTAATTCTTTAACTTTAACTAAAACGATATTTTAAGAGTTCAAACATAAAT